TCATCGAGGCACATGGGCCACAGAGGCCAAGTCAAGAACAAAGGAAGCCACCTGCAGAGTCCTCGCCTCCTCCTCCCCGCCCACCCGCCCTCAGCAGTCCCCAGCTTTGCTGGGGATTTGGGGTATCCAGTCAGAAGTGGAGATGTTCACATCGCTTCCACCGCCATTGCGATAGCACCATACCTTTGAACCAAAAACCATGAAAGCCTCATCTCTTAGCCTGGGCAGGTATAGCCCTAACCAATGGATTCTGTGCCCGCTTTGCCATTTGGGCCATCTTGTCAACCAAAAACATTCAATGCATGACTTGGAGCTCATGACAAAGGTGTGTGTTACAGATGACTTGTGTGGAAGCCCAGTTTACTTATATTTAACTCTGCTTTCCATTTCACAGTGCCTCAGACCTCAGACCAGTACCAGCATTAGAAGCCACTTAGCTGTTTTTCTGTGTTGTTACAGGTACAGGGAGTCTTCAAACAGTTCATGGAGAGTATGCGTTATCTTTTAAGTTTGTTTTCCATGAACTTTTTGATGACCCCTCATATTAGACTAAACATGGAAAAGAAGACAAAACATTAGAGAGACAGGTTTGGAGATGAGTGAACACTTCACATGAATCTCCAGACTGACCTAACTTGACTTCCGTGCAGCCAAGCCTGCAGGTGGGGGAACCGGCTGTCTCCCATCAACAGTGCGTGTCACCCACCAAGCAGCATGGAGTTCCATGAGCCTTAGCTTCTTGATTTTTATCTCCTCTGTTTAGAGGTTGACCACATAGTATAAAAAAAAGCAATAAAATGTGGCCTAGATTGAGGGGAAATCATTAAGACTTATTCTTCTTTGAGAGCTCAAAAGATTTTTTATGATTATGATCTCCACAGGGAAACAAATATTGGACAAGATACAACAGGATTCAAACGGCTTATCCTATGGAACTTTGCCCGATGGAAGTGACTCAACACAGAGCCAAAGTGGAGAGAAGAAAGAGGCCTAAAATGCTGAGGGGGTGGCTCTTGGCCTGATATTCAATACCACCTTTTTAAAAAATTGCACATGTTCAATTTGTGTCAGCAGCTATTTCATGCTGACATGTGCTCGCATTCGTTTCAGTCCTCCCCCCGGCTCCGTGTCTATGGACAATCACGGCCTTCCTCAGCTTTGACAGTCTAATGTTCTCACGGAATGTAACTCGAAGTGGTCCCCACACCCTGGACCTCTCCCTGACGATCATCTAACCACAGGGCTGTCTGTCACACAAAAGCGTGCACTCACCATTTGGCCACGGGACACACAGATTACTATTTCCACGTGGCTTATGGTGTCAGCTGCCTGGCTTTGAAGAGCCCCATTAGCCCACGGCCTCAGTCCTAAGTGAAAGGCTTGAGAGCATTCATTTTTTCCAGAACACCTTCCATGCACCTCCCCGTAAAGGTGTCACCTTTCCATTCCTAAATTAAAACAGTGATGGTGGGCCATCCTTTCTGAAGACTATTGCTATTAGTATTTACAAGTGGCCTTCTGTGATGGTGGATGCCAAAACTAAGAGACTTCTGCTAGTGGACTTTTGAAACCTTAAAAAAAAAATGCAGAAGTTTTTAGAATTGGGACTGTACTCACTTCAGCAGCCCATCTACAACACAGAAATTGGAAGAACACAGAGAAGATGAGCATGGCCCTGCAAGGATAACACAAACATTCATAAGGCATCTGAAAAAGGATTAGGATCAATATTTGTTTGTTTTTTAATAAAAATGTAGAATGGTGATGTTTTCTTCAGCTGGATGGTCCTGCTGTGCTCGAAATGCAGGAAAATGTCATGTCCTATGTCTTTATTTGTTACAGATCTTATAATTTATCAATTGTGTTCATATGTTTTAACTCTAAAAACAAGTATGAAAAAATCACATTTAAATTATTAGTGACATTTTCCCTACAAACCATTTTGTCCCCAAAGTCATTGTCCCAAGTTTTGTAGATTCTTCTAGGTGAAAGGAGTTATGATTAAAGAACTGGATCTGAGCCATTTAAGTCTGTAGAATAGGACAGCCAAGCAGCCAAACCTGGGTGGAGAGGGAAGCCCAGGTGCTCCTACGCCCAAATGGCTCTTCTGCTACCGATGACCACATATCCACTAAGATAACAGTAGCAGGTGGAATCCATAATAATGTCTCTTATCTATGATCGACCTAGTATTTGAAGGGGAAGAAATGAGGTGGCCTTCCCTGTAACCAATATCAAATAATGAATCTTTTCCTTCATGACATTTCAAAGCCTTCAAATCACTCCTGACTTGTCAGTCCAATATCACTGTGGCCAATCATCTTGCACTGTGTAGACTGTTTAACCCAGAGCCGTTGAGACTGTAATCTTTCAGGACTTTGAGCTTTTTCGTCATCCTTAGCTGCATTCATAACCAGACAGGCAGATCCTGGGTTCCAAGGAGAAATTTGAATACATCACCAATGTACGAAAAATAATCCCAAATCCACATCTGGCTTCTGATCTCCCAACAACTCTTGCCATTATACAAAGTGTCCCATTAATTCAGATAAAATGGTCATGCATATAATTTGAGGCATGTTTTAATGAATGAGTCTAGCACATTAGCCCTAGAAGGCTCAGCTAAGAAATGTGTCTTACACTACAGATTTCTGGTGACTTAAAACTTGTTTCAAAGAATGGGGAAAAAATGAGACTGAAGAGTTTTCTTTGAAGTAGGACTAATTTATAACTACAGTGCATGCATGGTTTTGAGCACTGTGGAATTTTGCAGAGACCCAAGCATAATGCCAATACTTCAGTGACCACCAACATTTGCATCTATTAAAAGTTTTGAGAGATGACAGTGCACATCCAAACAATCCAGCAATGCATTCAAAGTCCAGGTGACTTTCTATATTACTATTCCAAGGTAAGATAAATAGGAGTTTCGGTTCTACTAACCGAACTTACACTAACTTACACTAACGTGTAAGAGTTTTAATATTATGCAATGCACAGCAACCAAAGCTAAGCCAGTCCTTCTCTTGGCATTGTGAGTTGGGGAACTTTTGCCAACACTTGGCTTATCTGACTATTTGTGTAGACCGAGGTGGGCAAACTTTTTAAATAAAGACCCAGAGGGTAAATATTTTGGAGGTTTGTGTTGTACTGTGTCTGTTGCAACTAATCAACTCTGCTATTGTAGCACAAAGCACCCACAAACAGTATGTAAATGAGTGAGCATAGCTGTGTTCTAATAAAACTTTATTTACAAAAACAAATTGCCAGTCCATGGGCTATAGTTTGTCAGTCCCTGCTCTAGACTCTTCTGCCCTTGTCATATAATGTTTTTATTTTTTTGGAAGACTTTTTCTTTTTTATTAAAGATTTTATTTATTTGAGAGGTAGAGATACAGTGAGAGGGAGAGACAGACAGAAAGGTCTTCCATCCGCTGGTTCACTCCCCAAATGGCTGCAATGGCTGGAGCTGTGCCAATATGAAGCCAGGAGCCAGGAGCTTCTTCCAGGTCTCCCATGAGGGTGCAGGGGCCCAAGTGCTTGGGCCATCTTCCACTGCTTTCCCAGGCCACAGCAGAGAACTAGATTGGAAGAGGAACAGCCGGGACTAGAACTGGTGCCCATAACATAAGGGATGCTGGTGCTGCAGGTGGAGGATTAACCTACTGAGCCAAGTGCTGGCCCCACAATGCTTTTTCTATTCCTTGGACATTACACAAGAGTTTAAAAAGTGACACTTTGTGGCTCATGACAAAACAGGTACAAAACATGGGAGTATAGAATTGTGTCTTGATATTTACATTAGGATTGTTTTGCTGATATAAGATATAAATGAAAGTGATGGATTCATTGTTGGGGTCCAAGTGTTTCTCTTTTGAAGCCTGTGGTTCTTTCGTGAACACACTAACTATATTGGGAGAGCTTCTCCAACCCCACATGCCAGGTTGATAATAGCTTTGGAAATGAGTAGCCATTACCCCTCGTATAGTAGATTAAAGCAGTGGTCTTTACCATCCGATTGCTCTTCAGTTTTAATGTTTGCCTGCCCAATAAGGATAATAACTTTCATTAGCAGAATTACTTGAAAAGTAATACAACAAAAAATTTCTCAAGCAGCTCAGAATGGATTCTACACTCCCACACACTCCTGGAGATTCTATTTTGTGGCAAGGAAAGAAAGAAAAGACAGATTTCATAGATTAGTGCAATTTTAGTGCTATTAAAGAGTAATGGTGATAATGTGTAAGTTTGGCTCCAAAGGAAGCAGGTGCAATGGTGGACATGACTCAAATGAATAGAAACATTGAGCCAAATGCCTAAGCCAAGAACCCTCTTTGTGCTCCTTGTTTCCAAGCATGTGGCTCCTCCAGGAATGGTGACTGTACACGCTGAACACTCCTTCCTGCTTGCCAACTTCATAGTGATATGATGGACATAAATACAGCAGTTACTAAAATGAACCTTCCCAACACCCTTCCAGGCTGCTTTCCTTTAACTCCGTGGCTGGTTACAGAGGCAGTCCTTGAACTGGGCAGCTGCAAACCTAATGCACATGTTTGGCACCCGTGACCGTGAGTCTTTTAGTGAAGTTGCTGGATAAACACCACACGTTTTGAGCTATTAGAACAAGATCTCAAAATTGAACCCAACATGATTGTGCAGGGAATTTAGAGGCTGCTTCTAATCGTTAGACTCATCAACAGTCTGGCTCTTATTATGACCATCTTGAAGTAAAAAAAGAGAAGAAAATTCCGCACATACACAGTTTCCATGCAAATATAGACCAGTCTGGAGCTATTAAACATAGTGTTTTAGTAATTGTGGTAAATACAAGGAAGAGCCTTCCCACCCAGGAATTCTTGAGTCTGTCCCCTCTCTCACCAGCCTCGGGGTACCACACAACATGCTGTCCTGCGCCAGGAGCGCAAATCAGTTACAGGAGCTGTGGCCCATCCAAGGGATTTTTTTTTTCTTTTGCTAGAAAGGGAGGAAACGTTTCCTTCAATGTTGCTCCTTAGTGAGACTTAATGAGTCCCAACCACTATGTAAAAAAAGAATATCAACCCCAATATCAAATAAATGTGGTGTTTCGGTGTGCACCCAGCTGGACCAGGTGCTACCCAGAGTTTCACAGAGTTCCAGGCAAGATGCAAGATAGTGTCTGTGTTCCAGGCAAGAGCCTCCTTTCGCGAGAGCTGGCAAGGGTGTAACCAGGAAGGAGCCTATCCATCTCTGATGAGACCAGCATGCATGGACCGAAGCCACTTTGCATATTTCATCTGCTGCTCTCCAGACACGGGCCAGTCCTTCCACGTGCATGCATCCCACTTTCAGAACGCTCTCCTTCATGGCTCTAATTTGAAAACCAACCTCAGAAATTTTCTGAGGTTTGGACTCTACTACTTCGGTCCAAAGCACTCACCTAAACCTTCTAAACACTGCACAAACAAGAAGATAAACCAGCCCAAGACTTCTTGATCCAGGGCCTTGATGCAGGGTTGTTTACCTAATTATAGACTATTAACCCAATTTCCATATGCCTCAAACTTAGCAGATATTCTTTAATTTACTCAAACGTAATTGGTCACCTGCTATTTTCAATGTAATATGTTCAATCTGTTTTGAAAAACTGATTTTATCTTTTAGAGCAGTTTTTGGTTCCCAGCAAAGTGGAGGGGGCGGTACTGACATTGCCCATCTGTCTTCTGTCCCATGCGCCCCAGCTTCCCTGTGGCCAACAACCTCCCACCACAGGGTATGTTATTTCCATGGATGAACCTACCCTGAGGCATTATAGTCACCCAGTGCCCCCCATTTACAGTAGGGGTCACACGTGGTGGTGTGCCTTTCATGGTTTTGGATGAATGTGTAATGACATGTATCCACCATTATAGTATGCTACAGAGCAGGTTCAATGCCCTAAAATCCTATGTCTGCCTCCCAATCTTTCCCTCTTCTCAACCCCTGGCAACCACTGATCTTTTTGTTGTTTCTGTAGTTTATCTTTTCCAGAATGTTGGAATCATACAGTTTGCAGCCTTTTCGAATTGACTTAGTAATATGGATCTGCGACTCCTCCATGTCTTTTCTGACTTGATAACACATTTCTTTTTAGTACTGAATAAGATGCCATTGTCTGGATGTGTGAGTTTATTTATCCATTCATCTACTGAAAGACATATTGGATGCTTCCAAATTTTGGCAATTTAAGGTTATTAGGAATATATAAATGAATTTCACATGAAGGCCAGCTCCAGAGGAACATGCTGTCTAGTCAGAAAAATGTCATTGATTATTTATTGAATCTTTAAGTCCCAAAAACTTGATAATAAGACATAAGTATGGGGCCGGTGCTGTGGCATAGCGAGTAAATTCACTGCCTGCAGCGCTGGCATCCCATATGGGCACCCATTCAAGTCTCCACTTCCAATCCAGCTCTCTGCTATGGCCTGGGAAAGCAATAGAAGGTGGCCCAAGTCCTTGGGCCCCTGGACCAATGTGGGATGCCCAGAAGAAGCTCTTGGCCCCTGGCTTTGGATTGGCGCAGCTCCAGCCATTGTGGCCAGTTGGGGAGTGAACCAGTGGATGGAGGACCTCTCTCTCTCTCTCTCTCTCTCTCTCTGTAACTCTGACTTCCAAATAAATAAATTTTTAAAAATAAATAAAAAGTCACTTTTAGGCTAAAAAAAAAAAACTTGTAACAGAATAGGAAACCAAGACGGGGGTAGGGCAAGAACTAAGGTGGGGTAAATCAAAGACACCGAGGGCACAGTGAAAATCTTACTTCAGGATGGTGAGAGGGCCAAGTGCATCCTTAAATCTTGTGGTCTAGATGTGCCTCACTGTGCCCTGGCCCAGGCAAAAGGAAGTGAGCGACTTGACCCATGTCATTCAGCAGGCAGGTGGCAGAGCGAGGGTTTGAAGCCAGGATGTCTAACTCTGTGACCTACGTGCCTCCCACTAGAGCCAAGGTACTACCCTGCACAGTAAAATATCAGAAGTGCCCTGAGAGACTTGAGAGACCTCAGAGGGGATAAAGGTCACTGGCTAAGGGCAGAGCCTTCAGAACGATTGGGGAGTGTTGAATGGTGGTCCAAAACAAATGCTCACCTCTGAAACCCTGGAGCTTGTGAGGGTGACCTTATTTCTTTGCAAAAGTAATTGAGTTAAGGTTCTTGAGATGGGATCAGCCTGGATCACTTTGGATGACTGTCAATCCATTAGTGTCTTTCTAAGAAATAGAAGACAGACACACAGGGAAAGCCCCGTGAAGGCAGAAGCAGAGGCAGGGATGGGAAGTCACACAACCACAAGCCAAGGAGTTTCTGTAAAGGAGAACCCTGGAGAGAAAAGGAAGCCTTCTCCCCTGCAGTCCTCAGAGGAAGAGCTGCCCACAGACAGCTTTGATTTCTGACTTCTGGCTCCCAGAATTGGGAGGGAGCACATTTCTGTTATTCCAAGCCACCAAGCGTGTGATCTGTTGCAGCAACCTTAGGAAACATGCAGAGATTGGGCTGCTCTCTGAAGCACATCAGAATCTGGCCCTTGGAGGAGGCCTCATGAGCAAAGGAGACACTGAGTAGCTTGAAGGAAGCCCAGTGGCATCTGTAACGTGGGACATGTGAAGAGGAAGACAGTGCACCAAGACCAGAAATGCAGGTGGGAAGGACTTGAGTGACCGGCTGTGGAACTGACTCAAGAGTTTGGGATTGATTTGGGAAGTTAATGAGTTTATGATGGCATGAGCCTCGTTTCTGGAGACACAGGGTGGACAAAAGGATATAACTGATATATCTTCAAAAGCTTACCTCAGAATTTTTTTTTTTTAATTTTTAAAAGCTTGCTTAAATGGAAAGAGAGACAGAGAGACAAAGAGAGCTATCCCTCCACTGGCTCACTCCTCAAATACCTGCTCCTGCCAGGGTTGGGCCAGGTCAAAGCCAGGAGCCTAGAACTGGAGGTTAAGTCTCCCACGTAGGTGACAGGGACCCAACTACTTCGAACCATCACTGCTGCCTCCAGGCGTGAGAATTAGCAGGAGGCTGGAATCAAGAGCAGAGTTGGATCTTGAACCCAGGACTCCAACATGAAATGTAGGTGTCTCAAAAGACATCGTAACTGCTGCACTGAACACCCATCACCCTGTCACAATTTAATGACATTTCCTCCTGTATCTTCATTAGTCATTTGCTATTGACATGAGATGGCAAAATGAATGTGAAGGAGTGATGATGGAATTTTACCCTTGCATTTGTGGCCCATCACATCCTACCAGAAATAGCCAAGTGTAGGTGGGTGGCAGGCTGCACAGTGGCCTCGGAGATGGCCTCAGGTAGAAAAGCTGTGCCCACAGAAGGCCACACTGGGCACCAGAGTCCCAACCCCCAGAACTTGAGCTGGGAGCATGGAGAGAGCAAGGAGTGAGGAGTGGGAGCCGACACCAGGAGCACCCTGGAGAGCATGAAGGTGAGACGGGCCAACAAAGCGCCGTGGGCAGGCCAAGATGAGTAGTGACCGGAAGTTACAGGGGAGAGCAAGTCGTGAGAGTGAAAGAGCCAAGAGCCAAATCTGTTGGTGCAGCAAAGGTGCTGAGAGGCAGTGACCCAGGGAGCTGCTGTGTGTGAGAGCCGTGGAGGACCCAAGGCCTGTCTCCAGGAGACCAGCCGTGTGAAGTTCACCCTGCTCTGCTCAGCTGTCCCCCACCCCTGCAGCTGACTCATGATCCTGGGCAGCAAAAAGGCCTGATTTTCACAGGGCTTGTGGGGTTCCCAGCAGACGACAGTCACATGGGGCTGCTGGCACCACGGATGGGAAGGGGGAGCCCCTCTGGGAGCCAGGAGGATGCTCTGTCCAGTAGTGGAACTACAGTGCTGATCTGCTCAATGGGGGTCCTCACTGTTGAGGGGGCTCCACCAGGGAGATGGGAGAGGACGGGCCCAAGAAAACCAGTCTCTGTGCCTTAGTCATTTTTGTTTGTCTGTTTGGAGGTAGAGAGACGGGGAGAGAGAGAGGGAGGGAGAGGAGGAGAGAGAGAGAGAGAGTCAGAGTTAGCGCTTTCAGCCACTGGTTCATTCCCCAAATGCCCACAATGGCCAGGATGAGGCCAGGGCTGCCACATGAATTGGCAGGGGCCCAACTTGAGCCATCACAGCTGCCTCCCAGGGTGGGAATTGGCAGGAATGCTGGAGTCAGGAGCCAGAACCAGGAATCAGACCCAGGTACTCCAGTATGGGATGCAGGCACCTTAACCACTAGGCCCAACACCTGCCCCTAGGTTTAATCCCAGTGAGCGTTACAACGTCGCTAGTTTCTAAAGGTGTTAATGGGGCTGGTGCTACGGCATAGTGGGTAAAGCAGCTGCCTGTGGCGCCAACATCCCAAATGGGTGCTGGTTCGAGTCCCGGCTGCTCCACTTCTGATTCAGCTCCCTGCTAGTGCACCTGGTAAGGCAGTGGAAGACAGTCCAAATTCTTGGGCCCCTGCACCCATGTGGGAGACCAGGAAGAAACCAGCAGATGGAACATCTCTGTCTCTCTATGTAACTCTGCCATACAAATAAATAAATAAACATAAAGGTGTTGTAATCCCAGTGCATAGTCACTTGATGGTAACTAAGGCATTGCTGAGTGAGAGGGGCATTGCAGAAAGGGGCGCTGAGGGAGCAGGAGACATGAGGGGAATGGTTTTCAACATGGAGAGATCAGTCCCCCCAAGCACCCGGGCTGGAAGGAACAGAAAGAGCACTTGAAACTCTTCATCCTCCCATTCTCATCAGGGGCCATACAGCTGAGCAGGCGCTTAGAAAACGGACTGGGTCGCGGTGCAGGGGGGCGCTGTTGAGCAATGCACCCCCACCCCAAGCTCTCGCCACCCTCAATCCCAGCTAGGATTTCTGGTGCCCAGTGGACGCTCGGTGGCTCTGCCTTGAAGAAGAGGGTGGGCACCTTTGAGGGAGCCTGGTCCACGATGCCCGTCTTCCCCTTCTGGCCTGGGGATCTCATGGGAACAGCCTGGGACGCTGACCACTATCTGAGCTATGGTGGGGTCCAGCGCGCTTCTCAGCTGTTCATGGGAAAACAGGCTCCTGCGCAGGAGGACAGAGCTGTCACTGGGGCCGGGGCTCGCTCGCTGGCCGTTCCACCGGCCTTCTCTAAAGCAAACCACCTGTTTCCTGCCCGAGCGGAGCCCTGGGCCTTCCAAGGGCTCGGCAAAGAAGAAACGCGTCCAAACCACTGCTGAGGAATGACAGCTTTGGCACCGCCTCCAGTTATATTTGTTGTTCACTAAGGAGTTTTGTGGAATCCAGACTCATTTTCCACTGAAACAAGGGAAAGTAAAGACGGCACCAAATAAAAATAGCTTCCTGGCACTTCCTGTTTACTCAGCCTGCCTGCTCTCCTGGGCCTGGGGGCTTCGCTGGCCAGCTGCATGTTTCCAAAGCCCCTCGCCACAGAACAGCGGAAGTGGTGGTCTGGTTTCTCGTCTTTCACGTTGCTGCTTTCCTTCCTTTCGTTCTGTGTGGGTTTATTTTGGGGTCTGCGGGGTTCATTGCCAAACCTCCTTTTTCTAACCCTATTTACAAGGAGACTAGATCCTGGGGCCCTGTCAACCTCTGATGACCCCGTTATTTCTGGTCTGCTGGGCCTCAGAAGGAAAACATAGGAGGTGACACAACACAAAAGAAGTAGGGAAAGAGGGTGTCTAGGACTTGGCACAACATGGTTACGCTCTCCTTGAGGATGATGCAATGAGAGAGCAGAGCAGGCAACAAAGACACAAGGTGCCAAGGCAGGAAAAACTTGCCCCAGCAGACCAAACGGGGGTGCCCCCGATCTCGGGCCTGACAATGTTCAGATACCTCTGAGTCTTTTCCTGAAGCCCGGCAGGCCCCAAACATTTGCGGAAGAGGCCCGACAGATGAACACATGGATCCTGGGTGGGCTGGGGGTGACAGCACTGGGCTGCAAATTGGCATTTGGCCCCTGCCACAGCCCCCGTGCTGAGCATGTCTCTTCTCTCTGAAAGCAGTGCCAGCAGCCTCTCTTTTCTGACTGATTCTTGTACCACAACAATAAAGTTAATAATGGAAAAAACATTTATCCCATGGCTGGGGACGCTCTGAGTGAGCAGAGCGTCGGCCCTACAGTCTATCAACAGAAATGACTTGAGAGCAAACCAGAGCTTGTGAACCAACTTTTATGAATGATGGAAAGGGCAAAGCAGATTTATTTAATTTCCATAATTAAAAGTTGGCAATTATATAAATATCTTTCTAAAACCAGCAGGATGAAAACCATCCTTCTCTTGAAGAGAAGTGAAGCAATGGCACAACAGAGCCAAACCCACGTGCTACTGCAGGGGCTGTTGTGGGTGAGTGGTGGCCCCTAAAACCCACGCCAAAGCCCTAACCCTCACTGTTTCAGAATGGGACCTTGTTTGGAATGAGGGTCTTTATAGAGGGAATCAAGTAAAATACATGGTTACCGGGGACAGATGTTTGTCCTGGCATTTAGTTAGGATACCAGTTAGGACGCTCCCTGGGTCCCGTATCAGCAAACATGGGTTTAAGACCCAACCCCAGCTCCTGACTCCAGCTTCCTGCTAATTCAACCCCTGGGAGGCAGCAGGTGATGGCTCAAGTGATTGGGTCCCTGCCTCCCACACAGGAGACCTAGACGGAGTTCCTGGCTCCTGACTTTGACCTCAGCCTTGGTCAGGCCATGTGGGCACTGCAAGAGTGAATCAGGAGATGAGAAATCTCTCTGTGTGACTGTGTGTGTGTGTCTGTGTGTGTGTGTATCTCTCTTTGCCTCTCAAGTAAATTTTTAAAAAGTGTTTATAAATGAGGTTATTAGGGGGGCTGCTATTGTGGCAAAGCAGGTAAAATGGCCTCTTGCAATGCCGACATCTCATATAGACGGCTGCTGGTTCAAGTCCTGGCTGCTTCCCTTCCAATCCAGCTCCCTACTAAAGGCCTGGGAAAAGCAGTGGAAGACGGCCCACATGTTTGGGCCCCTGCCACCCACGTGAGAGACCTGGATGAAACTTCTGGTTCCGGTCTTCAACATGGCCCAGCGCTGGTCATTGCAGCCATATGGAGAGTAAATCAGAGAAGATGAAAGATTCGCTCTCTCTCTCTCGCTCTCATTCTCTCTCGCTTGCTTTCTCTAACTCTGACTTTCAAAATAAATAAATATGTGTATTTTTTAAATGAAGTCATTAATATGAGACTTCTCCAGGCTGATGTCCTTATAGAAAGGGAAGATTTAGACTCAGAGCCCACGCCATGGGACTTCAGCACTCCAGACTATGAGAGGACACATTGCTGCTTTAAGCCACCCAGCAAGTGTAACAAACTCACACAAGATCTTTTGTCTCCTCTGGCTCCCAGTGGTTGACCTTGGGGAATCTACTCCCATGGTGGGAACCTTGCAGGGAACAAAAAACCCTCCACCTCCTTCCTAGTACAAAACCTGGCAAGGCCAGATGTCCTGTCCTGGAGCAGGTGTTGTGGCACAGCGGGTTAAGCTGTAGGACCATCTGGAATCAAGTCCTGCCTCTGCTTGCTAGCCGGCTTCCTGCTAATGCACCCTCTGGGAGGAATAGAGGATGGCTCGAGTATTTGGGTCCCTGCCACCCATGTGGGAGATCCAGATGGAGCTCCTGGCTCACAGCCCAGGCTGTTGAAGGAAGTGAACCAGCAGATGGACATGCTCACTCTCTCACTAGCTCTCTCTCTTGTTCTACCTTTCAAATAAATAAATTTAAAAACAAACAGAAAAAGAGTCCTGGTCCCTAAACCCTGGAAACCAATGCCCCATCCCAGAGGACTGCAACTGGAGCACAAGGCATTTTCAGATGTACTTTTTTTTTTTTTTTTTTTTGCCACCAGCAGCGGTGGCATCCAAGAGCCTGCCAGAATGGTGCCAAGGATGCCAGCCAGCATTTCCTGGAGCCCGACTTAGACCACAGGTCCAGACATTTGGTTTCATTGGATTGCTGCCCCCTTTCCAGGTCCGATGCTAAAGCCCTCCCCTGGAGTCTGGGAGCTCCTTGACAGAAACCAGTTGGCCCAGATCAATAGGAAGCCAGACGTGTGCACAGCTTCCTGACGTGTTTTCCACGCCCTGCTAGATTGTAATCTCAGGATGTCCAAAGGCAGACTCCACTTCTACCTTCCTTTCGGTCTCCGTCCCCAACACCCCTCTCTAACAATCAGCCAGGGCTGCTTCTCACCTCCTTCACATCCACTCTGCATACTTTTGGGCACAACTCTTAGCTTTGCCACCTTGGGTGGGTCATCTGCATGCTCGTCCGATTCCTGCCTCCAAGTGCAGCTCTCTGTGGAACACGCTTTGCCCCGGGGCCACATCGCCACTCCACCGTCAGCAGCAGCATCTCACTGGACCTTCTCCACAGCTGCCGACAGGGTCCAACCTCCGTGACTGCTCTGCCCAAAAGGCCACTTCCTCCTACCCTCCCTCCTGTCAGCCTCACTGCCCCTTCCCCGCTCTCTGAAGACACCAGTGCCACTCCTGCCTCAGGGCCCTTGCACAGGCTGCTCTCTCTCTCTCTCTCTCTCTCTCTCACCAGGCTAAAACTCTCAACTTCTTTAAGTCTCTCCCAAAGGTTGCCTTCTCTCTGAGGCCGACTGACCACTTCATTAATATGGCAACACCCACCTCCACCCAGTACCCTCAGTCCCCATTACCTGTGCTTTCTCTCTGAAGCACAGATCACCTCCGGAAATACCGTGAATTTGTTGTGTTCGTTGTCTGCTTTCCACCCCCACAAGCTGAGCTCCTCTAGTAGAGGCATCCATGTCTGTTGTGCTCACTGCTGTATCCTGTCTGCCCGAATACAGAAGCAAAATGAATTTCTGAATTCTGCATCCGCACAGCTATGACCAACCATCACCAGATTCCCCAATCATGCTCCTTTTCTTTAAAGCGTGACTGTCTGGTTGCTTGGGGGCTCTTCCCTGTGCTGCCATGGAAACCATCAGCTCAGGGACAGGTTGCTTTTGATCAAGTCAGGACATGTGCATCACGCCTCACAGAACATACAGACGCACACCCACACCCTCCATAGCCTGAGAATAGGACACACCAGGGGGTAAATGGCCCTGGGGCCAGCACCGCTCCCAGCCCCAGCAGCTTTGGGCTCTGCTCCCCAGGAGGACCTGCCCTGATGCACACCCACACAAACCACACGTCTGTCCTCAGGAGAGGCTCAAGTCACAGTGTTCCACTGCCTCTCAGGCACATTTTTTTTTTTCTCTACCTCCAGTAACAGCAGTATTTGTGGAGTACCTACTATGGACTAGACACTTATTTGAAAGAGAGACTGATGGAGAGAGATCTTCCATCCGCTGGTTCACTCCCCGACATGTCTGCAACTGCCAGGGTTGGGCCAGGCCAAAGCCAGGGGTCCAGAACTCCATCTGGGTCTCCCAAGTGGGCAGCAGGGATCCAAGAACTTGAGTCATCACCTTGCTGCCTTCCCAGGTGTGCACTAGCAGGAAACTGTAATTGGAAGCAGAGCCAGGATTTGAACCCAGGCTCTCCAATATTGGATGCGGGGCTCCCAAACAGCTTCTTAAAAGCTGCTCCAAACTCCTGCCCCCAGGGGGGTTGTTATTCCTCCTTTCACAGGGAAGGAAAATGAGGCTCATGGAGGCTTCTCAGCTTTGCACTAGATCACAAAGCAAGTCAGTAGGAGAGGGATGTGGGTTTGAATCCAGGCACCGGGGTGTGCAGCTCCCGCCTACTTTGGCGTCCACACCCTCCTCCGCTGTAATTGAAGAGGAGTGCGCAGGCGCCGAGTGGTGGGTGGCGGATATCTCTAGAGAAACTCTGAAATGTGCATGGCATGTGTGTGCGTGTGCGTGTGTGTGTGTGTGCCCACCCTCCCAGTGACAGGGCCACGGGAATGCTGGACACCGGAGTCGACATCTGAAAGAGGCTGACTTCTGAGCTGTCTCTGGAGGGCTTTAAAAGCTAGCAACAAATAAAAGATAATCCCGTCTCTCTGGAATGACGTAGGTGTGGTCCTGCCTAAAAGGGGAGATGCACTGACCCCTCGGCGTCCCATTTCGCTCTGCGATCATGCTGCACCGTTCCTGGACAGGCTGACTAACTGCTCGGGGCATCACCAAGTCTGGTTTTAATAACGTCGCCGTCCCAGGACAAACCCTGAGCTGCCGCTGCAATAAAGGCTCCTCGCTGCTGGGGAGGGAGCCCTGGGTCACCGTGGGCGGAGGAGGGGAGGCAGGCACGGCCTGTTTGTTCTCAAGTGTGGGGCTTCGTGACTCATAGGCCTGCCCAGGGGGGTGGAGATGAAAGATTTCTCTCGGATGAGGTCCGAGGGAATCAAGAAGAAAGCCCTGGCGAGGGGACTGTGTCAGAGCAGCACACACATAACATCCCAGGATGAAAATGGCTTAGTTGGGGCCGGTGCAGCGGCGCAGTAGGTTAATCCTCTGCCTGTGGCACCGGTTCGAGTCCCAGCTGCCCCTCTTCCAATCCAGCTCTCTGCTATGGCCTGGGAAAGCAGTCGAAGATGGCCCAAGTGCTTGGGCCCCTGCACCCGCATGGGAGATAGGGAAGAAGCACCTGGCTCCCGGCTTCAGATTGGTGCAGCTCCAGCCATTGTGGCCATCTGGGGAATGAACCAACAGAAGGAAGACCTTTCTCTCTGTCTCTCCCTCTCACAGTCTGTAACTCTACCTCTCAAATAAATAAATAAATAAATACATTTTTTTGCTTAGTGGGTGTCACTAAGGCTTTGCACAACACATCCAGTGTGCTGTGAGTTCTTAGATGTGTGAGGGCCAACTCCAGGGTGCCTCTTGGGGAGATGGGGTGCGCTGAACTCACAGTGGGGTGCCGAAGGTGCCTCGGAGCTAAGGGGAACTGGCCTCCTTCCTGTCCTGGCACAGATCTTGCCCTTCCCCGGCTCCTGTGGCCAGCCACACGGGTGCACCCACGAGGGGCTCCGGCAGCAGAGTCATGGCGGGGCTGCTCTCAGAGCCCCTTGGAGGACGGATATCAGGGATTAGAGCAGAACAAGTCCAACCTGGCTACCTGCACACCCGCACACCTGCAGCCCTAGCCCAGGGCCTCATATGTGAACACACCAAGTGCCCCCTTGCAAGGGGAAGGGCTGCACGTGGAAGCTGCACATGGGCATATGGAGACGCCCTGCGGACGCCTGTCCACATCCACCAGGGGGAATGTTGGGGGAAGGAGACACACAGAACGTGCCCTGCAAGCAGACGCTCTGGTGCTCGACACCCTACTGTGGGTTCCCGGCTCAGGCTGAGTAAGAGCCTAAGTTCCTAATCTGCCCCCCCGCCCAGGCCCAGTAACCTCAGCCCCTCACTAAGACGCTCATGCCGCGCCAGCCAGATGGGCTTCCTGCTGCCCCTGGACAACTGCTGGCTGCTCCTGCCGCAGGGCCTCTGCACCGGCTGCTCCTCTGGCTGGCCCATTCCTGGCTTGGGAATCACAGGACTTGGTCCTCAGCTCCACCAGCCTTTACTCTGCATTTGCGACTACAATGCAACCACCTCTTGACATTTGCTCGTCCCCTCTCCTCCCTTATTTTGTAACAGAACCTCTCCTGCCAAAGATTCAAACGGGCATATATGACCCATTTTACTTATTACCTGTCTCCCCCGCCTGATGGTAAGGTCCCTGAGAGCAGGCTCAGCACCATTGCTGTCCCTGCAGTGCTCACTGCTGTGCCTGGCAGGTGGTACTTGCACACATGCTGTTGAATGAATAAATGAGAGAATGAACATATGGACAGACAGATGAATGGTCCTCCTCCAAGGTCTGGGGCCGAGGCAGACTGCTGAGAGCGAGCAGAGCCTGCCATGCCGACGGCACCCAGTGCTGGGGCAGACGCTGAGAACGGTGATGACACCCAGGCGTGCGGAGCAGGCAGCACAGGCCACGTCTCATGGGCTGGCAGCCGGACAACAACATGAGGCGCAGACGGCAACAAGATGGTTTAGATTCACTCTCAGACCTCACCCTGGCAGTGTGCAGCCCAGCTCTGGGAGGGGTCTTGGTGTGTGACACTGCACCATGTGCGTTCCTGTGTGTGTCAGTTAAAGCTGCCTGACAAAACGCCTCAAAATGCAGCCCCTTAAAGAGTAACGTGGGTCATCTCAGCATTTCTGGGGGTCGCAGCTGGGTATCAGTCAAGGCCACTGTCATCTGAGGGATGGGCTGCACCTGGAGGACCCCCCCCCATGGTGGTTTACCCACAAGGCTAGAAAACAAGCGCTGGCCGGTGGTGGAGGCCTCTGGCTCCCGGACACGTGGTCTCTCCACAGTGTCGCCTGAGTGTCCTCGTGGTTTCTCCAGAGCAGGTGAGCAGGGCCACGACAGAGGCTGCAGGACTTCCGTGACGTAGCTTGGAGGGCACCACCATCTCTCCGTCCACGTTCTACTCATCACCCAGACCAGGCTGTCTCCTGCGGAAAGGGGCGACAAGGGGGTGTGAACGCTCGTGGGACAGCCTTACCGGGCCCTCACTGTGAGGCTGGTTCCCACATTGTCTTTTTTTCTTTAAAAGATTTGTTTATTTATTTGAAAGAGCTACAGAGAGGGAGAGAAAGAGAGCGAGCGCTTCCATCCATTGTTTCACTCCCCAGATGGCCCCAATAGCCAGAACAGAGCGAGGCCAAAGCCAAGAGCCAGGAGTTTCTTCTGGGTCTCCTACATGAGTAGGAGGGGTCTGAGCACCTGGGCCAACTTTTGCTGTTTTTCCCAGACCATTAGCAGGTACCTTGACTGTAAGTGGAGTAGCTGGGATGTGAACCAGTGCTCACATGGGATGCCAGCACTGCAGGCGGCAGCTTTACCCACCACACCACGATGCCAGCCCCTTCCCACACTGTCTTGTGACAGCAAGTCACTGCCCACAGACAGGTGCCAGGGTGTCTGGGAGAGGCAGCAACTAAATCTTATAACCCACTTCCTGTCCTCTTGGGACCGACTCTGTGAGATACCTTCCAACTGGGTTTTCCCCCCTGCCCCCCAGGCTCCAGAAAAGGTCTAAAAGGAGGAAGAGAGGATGGGGCAGTGAGGGGGGTGGGGCAGGAGAGGGACGTGAGAGGAAGAGCCAAACCAGCACCCTCTCCCTCCGTGCCCAGGGCTCTCCAGCGCATCCATTCCCTACTGAGCAAACACTTGCACCCAGCAGTGGCCCAGGGCTCTCATCCAGAATTTAAGATGCCACGGGGCTCACCCCTCCATGGGGGATCTGTTCAAGGTCCACCCGGGGCACAGAGGAAGAACCGCATGAAGTCTGTTCTCAGGAAGACCAGGAGGGCTTCACAGAGGAGGCATACCTCCCCACACACCATGACGTGAGGCTTCCTAATCCTCATAACGTGAGATAAATGGACAGAAAGCCACTGAGTGTCTCACTGACTATCACAGGAAGTGGTGTCGGAGCCAAGCCTTCTGATCTCCAGTGTCTAACAGGGCATCCAGAAGATGGTCTTGCTGGATGCCACTCTCTCTCTGTCACAAGGATGCAAGGCTGGGACAGCAGAGCCTGCATGTGGCTGGGGGCCAGTAGTGCCACCACCACCAAGTGCTAACATAAAGCACAGGACTACAGGATGGTGGTGTGGGGGCCTATCACAAAAATAACCAGAGCCAAAGCAGTATCTGGCAGTACCCTCCCCCTACTCCACCTGGTAGGCTTAACCCTCTGGATCTGGATAGATCATAAGCCAAGGGACCCAAGAACGGCTCAGGGAGTGTCCATTATCCAAGGCCTAGATTTCTCAGATCACTCCTCATAACCTTTCCCTACACACATCCCCACACTCATGCACACACATGTGCAGATAGACGCACACGCCCCTCTGCAGGATTCTCCACATTCCCTGATCTTGTTTTTCTTAAGCTTTCTAAGATTTATTTATTTATTTGAAAGGTAGAGTTACAGAGAGAGAGGGAGAGACAGAGAGAAAGAAAGCGAGATCTTCAATCTGTCGGTTCACTCCACAAATGGCCACAACAGCCAGGGCTGAGCTGAGCCAAGCCAAAGCCAGGAGGCTGGAACTCCATCTAGGTCTCCCACATGCGTTGCAGGTACACAAGTAATTGGACCATCTTCCGCTGCTTCCCCATGCACATCAGCAGGGAGCTGGATAGGAAGTGGAGCAGCCGGGATTCCAACTGGCGCCCACATGGGATGCCAGGGTCACAGATGTTGGCTTAACCCACTGCACCACAACACCAACCCCTTCCTGGTCTTATGATTATCAAAGTACACATGTTGTCTCTCTACCAGCTCCCTGCAAGCAGAAATAAGAGAACATTGTGGTGGAAGTGTCCAGAGAGAAGCAAGCCCACAGCAACTGCTCCATGAATGTTCATCAAAGTGGGTTGAACCAGTAGCTCAATCTCCAGAGCTCTCAGGAGTCAGAGTGCCTTTGTGCCCAGGTCACTCTTCCTAGGCCTGCCTCCGGAGGGAGGAAGCAAGCTCAGGAGATCAGTCAGCACCCAGGGCTGCAGAGCTCGACTTTTTCCTTCTTTTCTCTTCAGGCATGTTTATTGTTAAAATTAGCCCAAATATTTTAATTCCCACAGAGACGTGTCACCAGTCTCTGTAATGTCAAAATGTCATCGTTAACCTCCCCGAAGTCACGATTAACCTCTGTGGCAGTACCAACACCCACAGGGCGCCGCAGCACAGCCTGGGCGAGGCGGTGGGTGCAGTCACCCCTCCGCTGCCTCTCCTGTTTCTATAAATGTGCAAAATCTTTGCAAGAAATGAAACAATTGTCTCTGGTGCACAAGCTGACTCTTGCAAGCATTCTGTCTCACTGCTCTCCCTGGGAGCCCCTGAGAACTGCTCGTCTGCAGAACCCTGTTATCCGCACAGACAGATCATGGCTATCTCTCTGTCATTACTTCTGCCTGCTGCTCCTCAAGTGTTCTCCCCAGACATTTCTTCCCAAGACTAGTTTGTTAAATAATGAGAGGGGGGAAAAACCTCCCTCATGAAACTCAGCACCCTCAATTTCCCAACATGAGGATTGTTTTACACACATGCTTTCTTGTTCTGTCCGTGTGTCTCTGTAGGTTGTTTGTTACTCGGGGGGGAGTGTGATCCTTAAACATATACACGCACATGCATGTGGATGCGTGTGTTTGGGCATATATGTAGAAGTGTGCTCGGAGGTGTGTGGTCTAGTGGCTGAGTCTGATAGGGCACGCCAGCGATCGTGTGCCTTTATGTGGGACTCCACGGCTGGTAGGGGCCAGTGAGTTACAAACAGAAGTGACTTCTGACCAGCGAAGCCTAGTGTCCACATGCCCTGGTCGTGACAGCAGCTTTACGGACTGTATGTTTGCCTGTTTCCGAATGTGATGACATTTGAAGGTGAGGTTTGGAGAAAATAATCAGATTCGGATAAGGTCTTGACGTAAGAGTCCCTTGATAGGATTAACGCCCTTATAAGAAGAGGAAGGGAGGGGCCGGTGCTGTGGTGCAGTGAGTTAACACCTTGGCCTGAAGCGCCGGCATCCCATATGGGCACCAGTTCTAGTCCCGGCTGCTCCTCTTCCGATCTAGCTCTCTGCTATGGCCTGGGAAAGCAGTAAAAGATGGCCCAAGTCCTTGGGCCCCTGCACCTGCGTGGGAGACCTGGAAGAAGCTCCTGGCTCCTGGCTTCGGATTGGCGCAGCTCCAGCTGTTGCAGCCATCTGGGGAGTGAACCAGCAGATGGAGGATCTCTCTCTCTCTCCCTCTCTCTCCTATCTCTGTGTTAACTCTTTCAAGTAAATAAATCTTAAAATAAAAAGAAGAGGAAAGGAGACTAGAGTGTGTGCTCTCTCTTTCTCTCTCTCTGCCCAAGAGGATACTTGCAAGCCAGGAAGTGGGCTCTCTGCAGAAATCAAACTTGCTGGCACCTTGATCTTGGACTGCCCACCTCCAGGACTGATGTTCAAACCATCCAGTCTGTTATATTGCGTCAGAGCAGCCTTGGAGAGACGGATTTTAGATGAAGTAGCATCCAGATGGCAGAAGGCAGTCCAAGTCATGGCGGACTGCTCTGTAAGATACCATCTGCAAGGTGTGTGAGGTCATGGAAATCTCTTGGTTTCTCTGTCGTAGCAACTGGCACTGCCTTGTCTATAAAATATGCAGATGATGATACCAAGTGCACAGGATTGTTGCTGGGCTGAATTAGGCAGTAAGAGATAAAAATCATATGTGCCTTTTCTATTAATAACTTTAGTCAATTGAAGTGCCTAAAGGGTGTGATCTACTTGCCTGGCACTGTTCCAGGTCTAGAGATCCAAGCTCAGGGACTCTACCTTCAGGACCTCCTATGTAGCCGGGCAGACGTCTAAGCCTGCATACTACCACGTCACGTGGGAAACGCACTATTCTATGAGGGCACAGGAAAATTTTGGAGGGTTTAAGGAGAGAACCACTCTAGAAGGGTAGAATGGGCAGTGGCATTTGGGGGAAGAAAGAGAGCTTTACTGGGTCAAATGAGCCAGGGACCAGCCCAGGTGAGGGAGGGCTTAGCTGTGAAAGGCCTGGCTTGAATCCACCTCCCTCTGGGAACCAGTCACCCCAAATGAGCAGCCAGGCATGGGGCTGAGGGTCTGAGCAAGCAGGGGGGTCTCGTTTTCTTTCTTCCTGTTCTCTTGGGTAGCTGCCTCCCAGGCCAGGCTGTGAGCTCCAGGGGCAGGGACGGCCCTTGTCATTTATCCTCCTGGGTTCTAGAGCCTAGGGCCTGGTGTGCAGCTGGACCCTCACAATCGTCCGTTGAGTCCAAAGGGAACACAAACCTCATCCGGTTTCCCCAGCTGCAACACGGAACAAATAAAACCGAATCCCTCCCAGGGTGGTATCCACTTGCGCCCCAGCGCCAAACGGACGGTTCTCTCCCACGGATCGCAGAGAGCGCCGGTGCCGGTCCACGGCGCCACCTCGCGGTCATACCTGGGAACGGCACCCTGGGGCTGCGCGCAGGAACCCCTGCTTTCCCTTACCATTGTCATCCCAGTCTTGAGAACAGGGATCCTGAGAAGGTCACCCTCAAACCCACTCCCTCCTATCAAGCCGCTGAAAATAGACAGGCACTGCTTTACCGCGATTAGTATGGCCCTGCCACCTTAAGCCCCTGTTTGCCAAAGCCGTACTAACGGGAGGTCAGTGTGAGGGCAGGTGAGACACACAGGAGCAAAGGTGGGATGTGGAAAAGCTAAGATGACAGATCAGCTGGGATTCGATCTCTTCCACTTCCTACCTGCATGGCCCTGGGCACTTCTCTCGCCTCGCTGTGCCTCAGTTTCTCTCTCTGTAAAATGGGGATGATATAACTCACGATAACCCATATACAACAAGCTCAGGCTCCATGGCCGGCAGCTAACAAGGGCTCAACAAAGCGCCTATGGTCCCATCACTTCACTTGCTTCAAGACAGTGAGGCGGACGCTGATAGTATCTCCGTTTTACTGACAAGGGCACGGAGGTGAGAGAGCCCCGCCCAAGGGTTCCCAGCCGGGGAATGACAGGCCTGGCAGCTAAGCCCCCTGACTCCGGTCAGCACTCCCACTAGAAAGAAGAAAGGGCAAGGCCAGGATTGCAGAAGAAACACCGGGGTGCTCAAAGGAGGGCAGAAAAGAGAATCAGAACTCGAATCCAGCACCGCAGACGGGCTTGCTCCGTTGCGGGCGCCAGGCCGGGTGCTGAGTAGCCTCTGGGCTCGCCCTGTGCTGTCCGGACGCGGCTGGCTGAAGGGGTGCCTTGGGGCAGGGGGCCGCCCCTCTCTGGGGCCCAGCTTCCTCCTTCGCCCAAGGAGGGAGGCATCTTGCGGCCTTCCAGACCCGAGGCCGGCGGGCTCCACGGCAGCTGCTCGGCGGTCGCCCTGCAGATAGATGTCCCTCGCCACCCCTGGCCCTCAAGAGTCCTCCTGGTGGAAGGCGGACAGGACGCCTAAGTTCGCCCTGGGGGCGGTGACAGAGGGAGTAACTCCTGAGCCGGCCTCACCTACACGACGTTAGCTGCACCCCCGGCGGCCGGAGTGCGCAGGCGCACGCGCAGGCCTATGAGGGACGCGCGGGAACGGGGCTCACGCGTCGAGGGCCTCCCGCAGGGGCGACCCCTGCGTCCCTACGCAGGCGCCACCCGCGCCTGGGTGGGGGGCGAGCCGTGTGTGGTGTTGTTTTGCTGCTGGCTGCGCTTTAGGCCAGGAGCGGGCCAACTGGGAGACGTCATCACGGGCCTTGCATACGCGCCTGACGGGGGCAAGATGAATGGCCTGGGTGGTGCTCGGCTCGTAAATAACAGGGCGCAGTGGGAGGGAACAGCGGAGGAAATAAATCCATCGGGACTCCAGGGCCATTTTCTGAGGAAAACATCAGGATGAGAAAGACCAGAGGCCCGCGCCAGACCAAGAGCCAAAACGCCTCGACGCTTCCCGCGGCGCCCCCGCGGCGAGCTGCCGACCTTGAACTGCTTAAGGACACGGCCGCAGCCGTTCGCCTTCGCAGCTGACCCCAGGGCCTTAGCCCAGACCCCAGGCCGGCTCGGAGGTGGAATGGGCGAGGGGAGGAGAGCCAGGCCCCGAGCTGCTTCTGGCCTAGCATTAAGTGCCCGAGCGTGCCTCACCTCCTACTCGAGAGGACGCGGACAAGACAGGGAGACTGGCCTCCCCGTGGGGGGCGCCATCGTGCAGCCCCTGTTAGTGTGCAGTGCTGCTCAGGGGCCCCCGGGTCTTACCTTACTAAGGACCGGGAGGAGAGACAAATCCCTGCCGAGTGCCAAACTCTGCCTGCCCCCAGCCCGACTCCGCGGTCCCTGCGGTAGAGGGGAGGGTGCTCCCCTCCCCTCCCCCGCAGCCTTTGAGTGGGCTCGCGAAGGGCAGAGCCTGGCAGCTTGGTTGGTCCATGATGCTGGCCCCGGGGAAAATAAAACCCCCACCCAACCCTTGGCTGCCGCCGGCTTCCCCATGGAGGACACACCTGAACCTCAAGAGTGACAAGCTGGCCCTGCAGCCTCGCTCTGCCCTTAGTGAGAAGCAAGTCCTATCTCCGCCTCGCCCTGTTCCAAAGAGAAGGCTCCACAGACGTTCACTAGCAGAAAACAATTAACCATCCAGAAAGGAATTTTGTGAGATGAGGCTTTGCATGGGAGCCCAAGTTCCAGAAGGGCCTTCTAAGGCGATCTTTCTTCAAGGCCACTCAGGCTCGGGTGGACATGATGTAGGTGGACAGGCGTGACTCCATGGCGCTTGATGAGATGAGATGCAAACAGACACTCTGATGTCTCTTGGTAGCCGCCTCGGGGCCCATGTCTCAACAGCAACACCAGGGGAGCCAGGACCTGATGTCTCAGACACATTCCCTCTCTCCCTTAATGGTGGAGAGGCACACACACAACACCATTCCAGCTCTCCCAGAGCCCAAGCCCCTGAAATGTGAGGCCATGGGAGTTATAAACCCTGCTAAAGTACCCATTCGTTACCCACAGGGACATCTGCTAGATGCTGGAAGAGAGACAAGTCCCTGCCCGGCGTATTCAAATCAGCAACCAGAAACCAGACCTCACTGCTAAAAAAAAAAAAAAAAAAAGGCCACAGTGACCCAGAAACCAGGTCTCCCTGTTAAATCAACAAACAAACACAAAGCCCTTCAGCCCTGGGGCTTATTTCCTAGTCATTGTTGCGGGCGGGTGCGCACAGGGAAATGGGCAGAACTCTGCACAGGTCCCGGGCGGAGTGGCTGCTGGGCAGCTGGACAGTCGCTGCTCCACATTTTGGCAAGAACAGCTCTGAGCTTACACGCCAACTTGTACTGCTGGTTCCAGGGTGCTCATCAGGCACCCCCTCCCCCATGCCAACAGCTTGCATATAAGCTCACGTGTGCACGTGCACCCACGCGTGTACACACACACACACACACACCCACACCCCTTGGCTCTGCAAAGGTGGCCCCACAGGACACAGTCACTTGTCTCAGGAGGGCCCTATCTGTGCTGGCCATCTGCTATCCTGTCTGCCGTCTCCCTGGCCTGCTTTCAGCACAGCCCTGGCTTCAGCAACCTGCTGGGCACACCTTGCCTTAGCTGCCCTCTGGTTTTGTGCCTGTGAAACTTCTTAGCCCTGAGCAGGCTCAGCGGTTTCAGCGCCTGGTGCCAGAAAATCAACACTGCCCTGGGGGAGCAGCCCTTGGCCAGTGGGAAGGGGAGCGAGTAAATAAAGTTTCTGTCTTCTGGAGCTCATGTAGACAGTGTGGAGGTACACTCAGTTCCTCGGAGGAGGTGGGACGGAGGAGGAGGGAGCCCCAGTGGCCCCCCCTGGAAACCAGCTTGTAATGCACACTTGGATCAGGTTTCGCTCCCTCCCTGGTTCACTCTTCCCAGCCTTCACGCTCCTGTTCACTTAGGTCACTTCCTAAAATAAACTACCTGCATGTCAGCCATCCCAGGCTCAGCTTTTAAGGAAAACCAAAGGAACACATGCCCCCAAGCAGCAGTGGCTAACTCCCGCAGAGCAGGGAGGGAGGAGGCCCGCAGTGACCCAGACTGCTGGTGGGGCTGCCTAATGCCAGCAGCCTCCGCCTGGGGCTCACACAGCTGTGCAGGGCTGTTCTGAGAACAAACTGTGTCTTGGCCAACAGATAATTTGAGGTCCTCTGTGAGATGTTGGAAACAAGAGAAAGAAAGCTAAAGAAATGAGGCTTGTGTAGCCCAGAGAAAAGAAAGCAAACAGGTTCATCACTGACTTCATAAAAATAAAGGGGTGAGAGTGCAGAGAAACGGGACTAGACGGGGACATGTGGAGCGTGTAGCCCACGCCTACTGCTGCCAAGATGCACACTGCTTCCCGTGGTGAAGAAATGGTCTCCCTGCATCTTCGGTAGATGCAGCTTGTGATGGGGAAGGGAGCAGAAAGAGGATGGGATTCATTGACATAAAAACTTTGTTACTTCTTCTCTAGGCACCTCTTTAAAAATCATGAATTCTTTTCAATCCAGCATTTTTTTTTGGCACGGGTCTGTCCCCAAAGGGGAGATTTTGACTGTTCTGTGACCAATCCAACTAGAACTAAATTGTATTTAAGTTCTGCTGTTTTTTTCTGCCCAGGGAGATTTACTCATGAGGTCTTGGCACCACCTAGTGGTTCACTGGTTCATTACAACATATGCCTGGCCTAAACAGCATTACCCAGTTTAATACAAACGCCTTCAATTTAATGCAACAATTCTACAAAAATGTGTTAAACACCGTTATGGGCTAAGCACTGTGTTAAAGCTGAGGTGTATGGGGCCAGCACTGCGATACAGCACATAAAGCTGCCGCCTGCAACGCTGGCATCCCATATAAGCTCTTGTTCACGTCCCGGCTGCACCACTTTCAATCCAGCTTCCTGGGAAAAGTGGGGAAAGATGACCCAAATGTTTGGGCCCCTGCCACCCATGTAGGGGACCCAAAGGAAGCTCCTGGCTTTGGCCTGGCCTAGCCCTAGCAGTTGCAGCCATCTGGGGAGTGAACCAGCAGATGGAAGATTTCTCTCTCTGTAATTCTACTTTCAAATAAATAAACCTTCTTTAAAAAATAAAAAACTGGGTGTCATACTGATCAAAAAAGAAATGATCTCACCTTTATGAGGATTAACATCAATGGAGTAGATAATAAAAAAGTAAACAAAGGAATCTAACATTATTTATTGTGACATCATTAGAAAATAAATCCATTGTGTGACAGAGAATAATTTGGGAAGGAGGGGGCTACTTTAAATAGAATAAGCAGAGAAGGGCTCTTAAAGCTTGGGGGGATGGCCGGCGCCGTGGCTCAATAGGCTAATCCTCCACCTTGCGGCGCCGGCACACCGGGTTCTAGTCCCGGTCAGGGCGCCGGATTCTGTCCCGGTTGCCCCTCTTCCAGGCCAGCTCTCTGCTATGGCCAGGGAGTGCAGTGGAGGATGGCCCAGGTGCTTGGACCCTGCACCCCATGGGAGACCAGGAAAAAGCACCTGGATCCTGGCTCCTGCCATCGGATCAGCGCGGTGCGCCGGCTGCAGCGGCGGCCATTGGAGGGTGAACCAGCGGCAAAAGGAAGACCTTTCTCTCTGTCTCTCTCTCTCACTGTCCACTCTGCCTGTCAAAAATAAAAAAAAAAAAAAAAGCTTGGGGGAATCAGGTGTGCAGCCTTGCAGTTAAGATGCCTGAGTCTCTCTGTCTCTACCTCTCCCTGTAACTCTCTTTCAAATAAATAAAATAAATCTTAAAAAAAAAAAAAAAGAACAAAAAAAATCAAGCTCAGAGGATGGGATGACGAGGGCTGGGGACATTCCATGAAGGCAGAGCACAGCACATGGAAAATTGTGGCTGGGCCAAGAGCTTGGCTGTTTAAGAAACAGAAGGACCAGCGTGTCAGAGCAAAGTGAATGAGGCTCAGGGAGTTCTGATGAGGCTGAAGAGAGGAACTGGGAGAGTCACACGTCTGTGAAACTGAAAGCACACAGATGCATAGGGTGGGTTTTTCCAGAACCATACCTGGTACGGGAGAGGGAAACCCTTTGTCATCAACTTGGCTGCTCCTCGGTTCCAGCAGGACCCCAACCAGGGACCTCAGCAGTAGTTGTATGTCCTGCTCAAGATGGCCTACATCTGCCCACATGGCTCCCGGCTACTGATCAGCAGTCTCTGGATAATGACATTGGAACCCCATTTTAAGTCTGAAATTGTGGTTCTCTACTTTGGCTGCAAGTCACCTGGGAGCTCTTAGGCCCAATGTCCAGGCCACACCCTTGACCACTTAAATTTGCATTCCTGGGAGGAGGGTGGGGCCTGGGACCCAGTGTTTTGTGAGCTCCCAGGTGATTCCAACATGTAACCAGTGTGAAGACCAGCTGATCTAGAAAGACACTGGGCAATGCAACCAAAAAAGTCTTCATTTGATATTCTCAAGTAGTAAAGGCTATACGAGTAATGAGCCAGGCTGTTTTCTTTCTCAAGACCAGGCCTCTTTCCCAGGTGGAGGCCCCTCCTCTGGGCCACCCAGCCCACAACACATCGTTCTCATTAAGTTCCCACCTGGATGTCTCATAATGCAGTCAGCAGACCCCCTGAGCCGATGTTACAGAAATATATTGTTTCATATTGGCAAGCAGGCCTGTTAAAGGCACAAAAATTATAAGGTTTCCACCTCCTCGTTACTCATTCACACCTCCCCAAGGTGCAGAAGGCTCAAGGAGTCCAGGCCTCCTGGAGCAGGTTCTCAGACTGAGCCACACATCGTCACAACAGCCTAGGGAGCTTTTAAGAAATACCAATACTTGGGCCAACCCAAGACTGATTTCCGGAGTGAAGCTTGGGCTATCAGGCAATTCTGACTTTCAAGCCCATTTCTAAAGAAAAGGCAGCTCCTGGGGTCCTGTCTGTTGACGAGGCCTGCAGGGACCAGACTCACGTAACCATGGGACCTGTAACCATAGCCCAGGCCTGGAACTAGCACTGTGCTCCCCAGACCTCTGATCAACAGGCCCTGGGCAGACCAGTTAGGACTACCCAGAAGTGCCTATAGCGTGTCCACTGCCCCTCACTGCCTGCTGCCTGGGAAGAAAGAACTCAGCCCAGGCAGGTGGTAGCCCAGATAACAATGCTACATCTAGCATGGGTGTGCCTCTAGCTACTGACTTCCCATTTTCAATAAAAGACTTGACACGAGGGTTCCTGCTAATCAAGCTCCACAAGGAACTGGCACTGAAGCTGCCCCTGCACCATACAGGTGTGTGTGTGTGTGTGTGTTAATTTAAAGATTTATTTATTTATTTACTTGAGAGACAGAGTTACAGAGAGGAGAGACAGAGAGAGGTCTTCCATCTGCTGGTTCACTCCTCAAATGGCCACAATGGCCAGAGATGGGCTGATCCAAAGCCAGGAGCCAGGAGCCTCCTCCAGGTCTCCTACATGGGTGCAGGGGCCCAAGTACTTGGACCACCCTTTGCTGCTTTCCCAGGTGCATTAGCAAGGAGCTGGATCAGAAATACAGCAGCAGGATTCGAACCGGCACTCTGATATGGGATCTGGTGTCACAAGCGGCGACTTATCCCACTGAGCCATAATGCAGGCCTCCATGTGTTTTTCTTAAAACTGCCCCCGACACACACACTTGACTGCCTACAAAGGAATGTACCAGAAAAGTAAGTGGTTACATCCAGGAAGTGAAAACCCAGGTGATTTAAACGGTGGTGCTGTTGCTGGTCTTCATTTTCAAATTTTTCTATGATGAATATGGATGACTGATATGGCAATATTACTTATGCTAATATTTCAAAAAGCAAAGCATAAACACACAGAAAAAAAAATCAGTTCCGTTGCTTATACGAGCCAACTGTGCAGAGCCTGGACTGTGCTAACAGTCACTGTGAATCTGTAACAGGAGGTGGCTGGATATAGCTTTTCCCGGATTTATTTAGCTTGGGACACCTTTCTCAAGGGAACCCCTCTGGGGTCTAGTGCTCCCAGGAAGACACTGTAGGAAATTCTGGTTGGACAACAGTGCAAGCTCTCTGACCTCCACTAGATCACTCAAGGCAGAGTAACTGCAAATGTACCTACCCTGTGTGCTATAAGGAGGGCGGGGCATCTGGGCCCACCAGGTGCTGTACCAGATGAGGTGAGGTGACCACACACGAGCTGAGACTTTGTCACTAAGCAAGATGAGCTGCAGATGAAGTGGCTTAGAGCCCAGAAAACAAATGAGAAGCAGGCCAAAAAATATCCACTACTGAACATCAGGTGACATTTTTATTCGGTTTACAGACACCACTCAGTTCCACTTGTTTCCTCCATCTCGTTTGGGATGGACACAGACATCCAGAGGCAGGGTGAGAGGGAAAACATCAGACACGCCACCTGCTCAGGGTGCTTTCTGCCGGCTCTGATGCTTCCTGTATCCTTCCCCCAACTCAGCAACCCCCAAAGACGCTTACTACCAAATGCTACTGCAGAAACCCAACTGGTTCACATGAAATAATGCTGAACTACACATTTAAAGTTAAAAAAAAAAAAAAAAGGCATACTCAGACTCTGCTGGAAATTTAGGACAGGAAAGTTAAGGGACTGAAGAATGAGTGAGACATATGAGGGGTCTTCAACAAGTCCATGGGAAAAGCTTATTATGAGAAAACTGCACATGGATTTAAAAAAAAAATTCATTCAAACAAGCTTATCTTTTAGTTCCATTTTTCCGTGAATTTCTTGAAGTACCCTCGTACATGGCAGCAAAAAGTTGATGGGCCACTGAATTTATCTACAAGTTTAAAAAAAAAAAAAAGCACTGATGAGCTCACGCTTCCTCTGGGACAGGATGAGCCCTGTCTTTTCTACCCTGCTCAGACTCCAGGTGGACAGTGTGGCTGCACTGGTGCTAAAAAGCAGCTGGTGGTTTTGGTTGTCACCCTGCAGAGGTAGCTATCGCACCACACAAGCCACACTGCCCACAGTGGCTTCCTAAGAACACCGATCTTACAAAGTGCTCCTCGTAAAAGGAGTTTGGGGTCCAGAAGATTTAGAAAGTCTTCTACACTAATATCTATTTCCTGGAGATTCACAATACACATGATTACACGGAAGGTTCCAGAGGTTCTTTAATAAACAAATGCCTAGCTTTGTTTAACTCAGAGTAACCTAAAAATCAACCTCACCATGGAATCTTTCTTTTTCCTAGGCAACACATTTCACAGAACATATGCTGAGAAATGCTCTCTATGGCTTTGAAAAATGCTTTGCAGAAACAAAACAATTAATGTTTCACTTAAAACAATTAGGTAAGTCCTGGGACCATGTGTAGGTCCATGTGAAGAGGTCAAAGGGTCATAAAGTCCTAGGCCCCTCATTCTATTTCCAGCCCAGCACCTCTGCTGCACACCTGCCTGCCTGCAAACCAGCAGCAATGCGCGGTCCTTGGTTCCTTTCCTTATGGAGCAAGGGTCTCGCACACTCTCAGTACAGAACATAACCCATAGCTCAGGTACAGACTCTTAATGTTTACGGCCTCCTACTCTCTAATGGTCCAATCATGAAACAGCTGTTGCTGCTGAGGCACATGACCACAAGGTTTTTCAAAAAGACTGACAGCTCCTTGTTCTTAACAAAATAAAGGAGACCAAAAAAGACAGGGGTGCTAACGACTTTCAACAAGCATTGCACAGACCAAAGAGATCAGACCACAAGAGCTTGTGGCCACACAGGCCAAATAACTCGCAAGTATTCCAGCAAGGACAGGCAAAGATGGATATCCATGATGTTACTGGAATGATGTGATTTTGTCCTTTGCATAATATACCATTTTTATTCTTGTTTTCAAGGAATTTCACGTGATATTTTAAAACAGAAGACAGAGAAAGCGAAAGTCCCTGAAGAGACTTGGCAGACAAAGTTATCTATGCCCTGCTGGCCTGTGAACCTACACTCACACCTCAATTGCAATTCGTGCAAACCGATACTGCAGAGAGGCAGGGGGCCTCAGTAACACCAGGCCCCGCTCAGCTGCCGGCTGGCTGGCCAGCACGTGCAGCAAGCCCGTCAAACTGACAAACCCCAGGGCTTCTCCACAGCCCACAGCCATGGAGAAATCCCCCTGAGTGACAAAGCCCAAGAGAACTCTGGAGCAGTGTGTGGTCACTGCTGGGAGAGGGCCTGACCACAGCCCCAGGGGCAGAGCCTCCTGCCTGGCCACGGGATCCCCCCCAGCCAGGTCCATGGACGTGGCACATCCCCGCTGCTTCCTCTTCTCCAGTTTCTTCTTCTCCTTCTGCTTCAGGATCTTGCTCTTGAACGGGTCGCGGTGCTTGGGCTCCTGGGGCCCACAGTAGCGGCGATCCTCACGGAGCCGCAGGAAGTCCTCCTGAGCTGGGATACAGATCATGGTGTGCGGCTCCGGACTGCCCTTCCCGAGCAGGGACAGGCTGACCCACACCAGGGCCCTGGGGAAGTGCTCCAAGATGGGCAGCCAGGCCTCTCTGGTCAGCTCCTCCTGGCGTCTGCAGGGAGCCCGCCGGGCTGCCCGACCGTCCTCAGAACTGGGCCCACACCAGGCTGACAGGCGCTTCAGTAATTTTCTACTCCTACATAAAGTGGAAGACACACATTTGGGGATATTTTGTTCAGAAAAAAAACATGCCATTAGAAGATGAGACATTGCTAGTGTTGATTTGGTTTCCTACCATATGTGGGAATGTATCAACACTATGATCATTTTAATAATCAAAAGTCCACATGAATACATTTGGGTACTGACATTTTTCTTTTTATTTGTCTACCATCCTGAAACTAAAGGGCTAAAAAATTAAGACACTGAAGGCACAGAAAAGTAAGGCAGTGGGCCAGGATCTAGGGCTGCCACCACAGTGAAAACATGGAAAATAAAGAGGAGCTAATGATTCAGGGAGGGAAAACTCTAGGCATAGTTTACGATGAACAAGACAGAAGGGTATGAAATTAGGTTACTCTTCAGAAAAGTAAGTAAGAGGGATGAGCACTTTACTTAAAAACTCAAGAGTTGGGGCCAGTGTTGTGGTGTAGCAAATAAAGCTGCCACCTGCAGCGCTGGCATCCCATATGGGCGCTGGTTCGTGTCCCGGCTGCTCCTCTTCTGATCCAGCTCCCTGCCAATGGCCTGAGAAAGCAGCAGCGGATGGCCCAAGTGCTTGGACCCCTGCACCCATGTGGGAGACCTGGAAGAAGCTCCTGGCTCCTGGCTCTGGCCTGCCCCAGCCCTGGCCATTGTGGCCACCTGGGGGAGGGGGTGAACCAGCAGATGGAAGACCTCTCTCTGTCTCTCCCTCTCTCTCTGTAACTCTGACTTTAAAATAAATAAAATCTTTTAAAATAAATAGATGAACTCACGGGCACAGAACCTAGGGTAGCTGTGGAGCAGAGCTCAGTAGCCGTGAGCATTTTACATGGTAGCCTGCAGGATGTGACAACACTACACTGCGAGGTGCTAACTTACCACAAATCCATCTAATCCAGTGACCCAGAGCACAGGGCACTGGCTCAGGTATCCAGGGGCTTTTTACTACCTGAGCTTGCACCCATGCGGGTTCTTTGTGAGCACACTAAATGAAATAGGTCAGAGAAAAAAACTCCTGAGTTTGGATCTATTGATGACAACATTTTATTTATTTATTTAGAAGTCAGAATTACACAGAGAGAAACTTCCATCTATTGGTTTACTCCCCATATGGCCACACCTGCCAAGGCTGGGCCAGGCCGAAGCCAGGAGCCAAGAGCTTCCTCCAGGTCTCCCACGTAGGTGCAGGGGCCAAAGCACTTGGGCCATCTTCCACTGCTTTCTCAGGCACATTAGCAGTGAGCTGGACTCGAAGTGGAGCAGGCGGGAATGGAACTGGTGCCCATATGGGATACCGACTTAACCCACTGCACCACAGCACTGGCCCCTGATGACAACACTTTTAATCATTTCCTCACTTAGCATCATACACCCAAATCAAATATTAGTAAGTGGTTTCTCTTGACTTTCCCTTCTAACAAGACAAAAACATGGGTTTTTCATAAAGGATCAGTGGTAACTTTTATGCCCTGTTGCTTGTTCCATATTAAAATAAACAACCCAAATGTATCCAGAGATGGCCTACACTTACCTAAGAACACAGAGCTGACCTCCAGGGGCGGCAGCACAGTTCTCACCGGAACCAAGGTCCTTGACCCTCTCGGGCCCTGCCTGGACTTGGCACTCCGTGTCCATGCCTTCCTCTGGCTCCTTGGGGTCAAAGGCAGACGTCCCCACGTCATCAGAGAGCTGAGGACCAGTCGCAGGCTCGGCAGCACCAAGCACCTCATCACCGCTGCTCAAGTCGCTCTCCTCGCCATCTGGAGATGAAGCGATGGAAGACTCATCTTGGGCTTGGACTCGCGACTCCCAGTCTTGAGCCAACTGTTCCCATGGACAGCAGAAAGGTGCCAGAGTGCCCAGCTTAACGTAGTTGGGCCGCTTGGCAGGAGGGCGTCTAAGGAAACACAAAGAGGAAAACCTGTGTTGTAGGAGGGGGCAGTTACAATGACCACGGCCATCATAATGCATCTCTGTTTAAAACACACTCACGCACAAGCTTTCCAAGACATCCGTGATAATACCCGGCTTTACTGGTCGAGCTTTTTTGCTTTCCTCCATCGTTACTAAATAGTGTTTCACAGAGTAGCCAGCCCCATGTGGCTGTAAACATGCCCAGCGAGCACAAACCAGTGATGCCCCTGATAGCCCTGCGCGGGCTGTGACGTCCCTGTACATCTGCAAGGTTCTGAGTTCAAAGTGACAGTGAATTTTCTCTCACTTTAATCCACACACACACACACACACAGCACTTCTTTTCACTGTGACTTCCCAATGCTGACACAGCCAGGCTGGGCCAGAAGCCAGAAACTCAATCCAGGCCTCCCATGTTGAGTGTCAAGAACTCAAATTAGTCGAGCCACCACCGCTGCCTCCCTGGGTGCACGCTAGCAGGAAGCTGGAATTGGGAGGCAGAGCCAGGGATCAAGCCCAGGTCCTCCTATGCAGGACATGGGTGCCCTAACCAGTGTCCTAACTGCTAGGCTAACACCTCTGCTCCTCTCTCACGCTCACTCTACTGCCTTCTACAATGTCATTATCATCATACTTTTTTAAAAAAAGATTTATTTGAGAGATAGAATAACAGAGGGAGAGACAGAGAGAGAGGTCTTCCATCTGCTGGATCATTCTCCAAATGGCAGCAACAGCCGGAGTTGAGCTGATCCAAAGCCAGGAGCCAGGAGCTTCTTTCGGGTCTCCAACATGGGTGCAAGGGCCCAGGCACTTGAGCCATCTTCTGTTGCTTTCCCAAGCCTTAGCAGAGGGCTGGATTGGAAGAGGAGCATCCAGGACTCGAACCGGTGCCCACATGGGATGCCAGCACCACAGGCAGAGACTTTAGCCCACTGTGTCACAGCGCCGGCCCCGTTTCATCACATATTCTTGTACATTCTTCCAGAGATTTTTATATATATTTAAGCAGATATGTATATGTTTTGTCCCATTTTTACATAATGGCTGCATTCTAGAGACAGGACCTTTTTCTTAACTTCATTTTTTTGATTTAACAAATTATCATTTGATGTCAGTATCTGAAAAGCACCCTCACTGTTTTATATAAGGCTGCGTATCTTATTCCACCACATAAATACACCCTCTTTGGTTTAGACAGTCCTCCATTGAAGGACACTTTGCTTCTGCAAACAGTGCTGCAAAGGAGGCCTTGAGCACGCTGCACACGCACAAGTATGCCCACAGAGTAAGTCTCCAGGAACAGAGCCGCTCAGGCACACACAGCAGTAGTTACTCTGACAGACACTCCCAAGCTGCCTTCCACAAAGGTGACACCAGCTGGCCTTTCCAGCAACGTGCAAATGAGTAGAACTTTTGAGAAACAGGACAAGCTAATGAAAACCAAGACCCGGCCCAAGAAGTAGGGGTCACCCTGGGTGTCGGCCATTCTGGCCTGGAGGGGCCTCAGCAGTCCCAGCAGCACCCTCGAGTGGTCAACTCTGGGACAGGATTATGGTGCTTCTCACATCCACTTCTTTGGCAAATAAAAATGAAACCGTGGGCTTCATCCAGAGTTCGCACTGAGCCCGTACTCTCAAGGTTGAACTAAATGTGCAGCAGCCTCCTAAGAGAGCAAAATGCACTCCTAGGGCACCTGCCCCCCCAAAGGCCTTTTAACACCCAAAAGGCTATCACACATGCCTACTTCAATCTCATGAATAGAAAACCCATTTTCATCACAGCACATGTCATGCTGTGACACAGCACATAACACAATTTTCTTACAAACCCCTTTGAATTATGAAGATCTGTATGAATGGAATAAATAGGTATGAAAAGTGGGATTTAAAATAATTTTCTGGGCCAGCACTGTGGTGTAGCAGGTAAAGCCACCACCTGTGATGCTGGCATCCCATATGAGCACTAGGTCAAGTCCTGGTTGCTCCACTTCCAATCTAGCTCCCTGCTAATGACCCTGGTAAAGCAACAGAAGATGGCCCAAGTGCTTGGGCCCCTGCCACCCACATGGGAGACCTGGAAGAAGCTCCAGATTCCTGGATTCTGACCAGTCCAGCTCCAAGGGATGTAGCCATTTGGGGAGTGAACCAGCAGATGGAAGACCTCTCTCTCTAACTCTGTCTTTCAAATAAAATAAACAAATCTTTTAAAAACTAATAATAGAGGTTGGCACTGTGGCATAGCAGGTAAAGCCACCGCCTGCAGTGCCGGCATCCCATGTAGGCGCCAGTTTGAGTCCTGACTGCTCCACTTCTGATCCAGCTCCCTGCTATGGCCCAGGAAAACAGCAGAAGATGGCCAAAGTGCTTAGGCCCTTGCACCGACATAGGAGATCTGGAAGAAGCTCCAGACCCCTGGCTTTGGATCAGACCACCTCCTGTGTTGTGGACATTTGTGGAGTGAACCAGTGGATGGAAGACCTCTCTCTCTCTCTCTCTCTCTCTCTCTGCCTCTCAAATAAATGAATAAATTTAAAAAAAGGTAAATATTTTTATAATTTTCCAATTAGAAATGACCTTCCAAGCAGAACTCTAAAAGATATGTTGAGGTGAGCATTTAGCACAGCAGTTATAAAGCTGATTTGGTGGGCTAGCCCTGTGGCCCAGCAGGTTAAAGTCCTGGCCCCCAATACCAGCATCCCATATGCACACTGGTTCGAGTCCTGGCTGCTCCATTTCTGTTCCAGCTCCTTGCTAATATGCCTGGGAAAGCAGCAGAGGTTGGCCCAAGTCCTTGGGCCCTGCACCCACATGGGAGACCCAGAAGAAGCTCCTGGTTCCTGGCTTTGGATAGCTCAGCTCCAGCTGTTGCAGCCATTTGGGGAGTGAACCAGCAAATGGAAGACTTCTTTCTCTCTCTCTCTCTCTCTCTCTCTCTCTACCTCTCTCTGTAACTCTTTCAAATAAATAAAATAAATCTTTATAATAAAAAAAGAAAAAGCTAACTGGGACACCTGTGTACCATATTTAAATTTCTAGGTACAGGGCCGGCGCCGCGGCTCAATAGGCTAATCCTCCGCCTTGCGGCGCTGGCACACCGGGTTCTAGTCCCGGTTGGGGTGCCGGATTCTGTCCAAGTTGCCCCTCTTCCAGGCCAGCTCTCTGCTGTGGCCATGGAGTGCAGTGGAGGATGGCCCAAGTGCTTGGGCCCTGCACCCCATGGGAGACCAGGATAAGTACCTGGCTCCTGCCATCGGATCAGCGTGGTGCACCAGCCGCAGCGGCCATTGGAGGGTGAACCAAGGGCAAAAGGAAGACCTTTCTCTCTGTCTCTCTCTCACTGTCCACTCTGCCTGTCAAAAAAAAAAAAAAATTTCTAGGTACAAGTCCTGACTCTTTCTGATTCCAGGTTCCTGCTAATGTACACCTGTGGAAGCAGCAAGTGATGGCTCAAGTATTGTGGGTCCCTGCCACCCATGCAGGAAACTCAACATTGACTTCCAGTCTCCTGAGTTCAGCCTGGCCCAGCCCTGGCTATTGCCAGCATTTTTAGAAAGTGAACCAAGGCCGGCACCGCGGCTCACTAGGCTGGTCCTCTGCCTGCGGCACCAGCGCCCCAGGTTCTGGTACAGTTGGGGCACTGGATTCTGTCCCGGTTGCCCCTCTTCCAGTCCAGCTCTCTGCTGTGGCCCGGGAAGGCAGTGGAGGATGGCCCAAGTCCTTGGACCCTGCACCCACATGGGAGACTAGGGGGAGGCACATGGCTCCTGGCTTTGGATTGGCGCAGCACACCGGCTGCAATGCACAGGCCGTAGCAGCCACTTGGGGGGTGAACCAACAGAAAAAGAAGGACCTTTCTCTCTGTCTCTCTCTGTCTCTCTCTCTCTCTCTCACTGTCTAACTCTGCCTGTCAAAAAAAAAAAAAAAAAGAAAGAAAAAGAAAAAAAAAAAAGTGAACCAAGGGTAGAAAATCTCTTTCTGTGTCTCTTTGCCTTTTAAATAATAAATAAATAGGGGCTGGTACTGTGGCACAGTGGGTAAAACCACCACCCGCAGTGCCAGGATGCCATATGGGTGCCAGTTTGAGTCCCAGCTGCTCTACTTCCCATCCAGCTCCCTGCTAATATCCCTGTGCAGCCCCTGTGCCTATAATGGTGCCACACACATGGTAGGCTCTAAATAAACATGGTTTGAACGAATGAATAAACCAGACAAACATGGAAAGATCCATACAGGAAGATGTTCACAGAAACATATGGCAAAAAACTGGAAATAACCTGAAGTCCCACTGATAAACTATAGTATTCCACACTGCAATCATATGTAATCACTCCAAGTTGTATTCTGAGCAAAAGCTGGCAAGCTATGACTCACACACCAAATCTGGCCTGCTATCTGTCTTTGTACAACCCACGAGCTAAGAATAGTTTTTACATTTTTAAATGGTTGAAAAAAGCCAAAAGAATAATCTTTTATGACACATGAAAATTATATGGAATTCAAACTTGAGTGTCCATAAATAAAGTGTGACTGGAACACAGCCATACTCATTTGTTGATGTCATCTGCGGCTGCTTTCATGCCACAATGGCAGAGTTTGATCTCCACGATGGAGATCAAAGGGTCCACAAAGCCAGAAATATTTATTATCTGGCCCCTGACCAACAAAGTTTGCCAACACTTGGTTTAGAGTCATACTTATTGATACAGGAAAACTATCCATAATATATTGTTAAATGAAAAACATGGTTTTCATAGCATACAAAGTATAACTTTTTAAAAAAAAATTTTTTTTATCTATGGAAAAATCTTCAAGCATGAAAAAGTCTCAACAGTGAGAAGAATTATTGTCAAATATTATTTAACAAACACATATAAGACCCTCAACTCTATATTACAGGAGACACAAGAACATCCAATACCTGAATGCTGCCCTCAAAGAACGGGTAAGCTAGCAACAGAACATATCACCATCCATCCATTCTTCCATCGATCAACAAAAGGTTTGAAAGCCAGCCATGCCTGGCCCTCTGGTTGCAGCAATGAATAGGAAAACATAATTTTGCCCTCAGAATTCACAGTCAAGGAACTATATGACATTCAATTATTCAATCATTTATCAGATAACAAACAAAAGCTATTAAGGACTACTGTGCACAAGGCACTGGCTTGACACTGCAGATGCCACAAGAAACAAGAGAAAAAGGGGGAGTTTGCACTTCCAGGATCCTAGGAAATGCAGGTTCCTCGTGTTGGCATGTTCCACAATAAAAAGGAAACAAAGCCATTTACTGACCCATCTCCAGTGGAAAAAAGACAAGTCTGTATGGGTAAAAATAAACAGTGCTATGTCTCTGGATGGCAGGATTATTCCCATTTATAAAGTATTTTATGTATTTCCAAGTTTCATTAAAATTTTGTAAATATATATTACTTCTAAACCAGTTTTTTAAAAATATGTTTAGCATTAGGGGAGGGTGGTTAATAGTGGGGATCTATTAAGCAGTGTCTCACACTCATGTCCACAGTTTTGGTGTACTTAATGACCAATGTCAGCAAATAACCGAGAGAAACGTTTGTAACCCAGATGGGCCTATAAAAGCCAGACAGATACAAATGCTAAGACAATCCCCTGACTGCAGTAATATCATCTTAATTACTTCTCAGCAATGCTGAATTCAAGGGAAAGCCTATAAAAACTCCACATTATATGGTAGGACTTACTGAAGCCACCCCAACCATGGTTGGCTAATGTGAACAGGCACTTCTCTTCCCCTTAGGACATGTTCAACTGAGAGAAGCCATGTCTTACCTTTTGTACTTTTCAAGAAGATTCTTAGCTTGCTCTTCAGCAAACAGAATCCCAGCAGGGCAGTCTGGGAAATCACCCGGGATGCTAGGTGACCTTTTATACTGAGAATGGACCACAGCCTCTTTTAACCCTCCAACTCTTGCACCTCGGTAGATCTAAAAGAAATGTCAAAAAATACCGACGTTTACCAACTTGAAGTGAAATTATTTAGCTGTATTGGGGAAAATAATGAAATAACTTAAATATTCATCAAAGGGACAGTAGATAAGTATATTGTGGGATAATCTGTCATCAGATTACCACAAGATAATAACAATGAATGAAATGGAGTGTCATTAACTGACACAGAAAATCCTAATGCCTCGTAAATTGCAAAAAAAAAAAAAAATATATATATATATATATATATATAGTGAAGTATATATGATGGTACTTCAAAAGATTTTCGTAGAAAAACTTTTGAAATCCATGCAGGTTTTAATAATACACATTTTGCATGAACTTTTTGAAGACCCCTTAAAGTTTAAAAGCATGTCAAATATATTTATTATAAGATACAAACATACTTAATAGGCTATAGCAATATGTATGGTAGTGACAAATACCAAAATCAGAATAACTATTTTAGCAAGGAGAGAACTGAGATGAGAGAGCAGTACATGGGTACTTCCAATGAATCTGTGGCATTTCATTCATTTCGTAAGCTGGATGGCAGGTGAGGATGCACAGGCATTTGTTATATTCCTTTTTATACTTCAAACATTTCATAACAAAAACATTAAGTAGAATCACTTTAGAATATTCCCAACCTAAATGATTAACTGAATGTCCCTTGCATGAGGCATAATTGCAGGCATAATTGCATGAGGCAAAACTTAATTACCTATGTGAATCTAACAGTCTAATATGCCTCTTATACCCTCTAGTATCAAAGTAATAATTAAATCAGAAAATTAGATTTTAATGGAAATTTAGTTCCAGTTGATTAAGATAGGAGAATAGATCAAATTAACATTTTAAAAAAATTACACTGCATAATTCTGTAAACGTTTAGCCATTTGCTTTTAAACTAGGACAAGTTTCTTCAAGTGAAAAACTTCAATATTTCATTGCCACTACTGCTCATTAAATCAGACCACTTTAAAAACCTCAAAACTTCACAATAAGCTGGCACAGGATTTACTAATGATAACCTGGCTCCAGGGACATGATGTAGGAACCATACCCTGTGGCCAGCACTATAGCTCTATGAGCAGAAACGTACCACTCAGCTTCCAAGTTGTGTATAAAGTCTGGAAGACTTTCAGCTCTTTGTATTTATTGGCAACGTTTTTTAAATGCTGCAAGCATAAGTCGTAATCAACAGCAACTTACAAATGGGATCCAGAAAGCCATGCCCCAGCCCTTGGGGAGCAGGACATCCCAGCCACTGCCCCAGCCCCGCCGGTCTTCACCAGTCACTCTTCCTGGCTGCTGAATCAACAGTATGGGTATCTTGGATTCCCGGGACCCTAAAACAAGCTGTGACCCAGGTACCAGCAATTCACTTCTCATCCGGTTTAAATCCTAAAGTGGAAGAAAATAATTCAAGACAAACAACCCTAGTCTTCTGGGAGATTTTACTCAATTTCCCAATATTCAGCTTCAGAAAGTTCATTAAATGCTCTTCTAAAAAGCAAGAAAAAACATTCTTAATAAACATGAGTCATTTCAAGTATATGCTATTCTTCCTACGATAAATATTTTCCTCCATAATTTTAAGTACAAATTACTTCCCTTTATCAGTGCTCTGGCAGAAAATACTAACTCCTCTTAAGTCTGTTCAATTTGGGCTAGAATGTACAATTACTTCTAAAAGCTCATGGAAAAATGAATTTTCTGGATGCAAAAAAATTAAATTGATACAAATGAGGTTTTCAAAAATTCATGGAAAATATGTATTATGATAAAACTATGCATTGGTTTCAAAAAATTATGGAGCCAAAATAAGCAACTTGTATTTTACCATGAGCTTTCTGAAGTTTCCTTGTGTACCAGATGATTCAAAGTTATAAAACGGTAATACATTAATTCAACTAATCTCATAATCAAGATTACATATATTTTTTAAAGATTTATTTTATTTATTTGAAAGATAGAATTAGAGAGTTAGAGATAGAGAGAGAGGTCTTCCACATGCTGGTTCACTCCCCAAATGGTGCAACAGCCGGAGCTCAGCTGATCCAAAGGCAGGAGCCTGGATCCAGGAGCTTCTTCCAGGTCTCCCTCGTGGATACAGGGACCCTAGGACTTGGGCCATCCTCTGCTCTTTCCCAGGTGCATCAGCAGGGCGCTGGATCAGAAGTGGAGCAGCCAGGACTGAAACTGGCACCCATATGGTATGCCAGTGCTGCAGGCCAGGGCTTTAACCCGTTGCACTACAGTCCTGCCTTCTAACTTATTATTTTGATACTCTGACCCTACGTTCAATATTCATTGTCATGAAGTAAAAGGTGCAATTAAATGATAACTTCTTGGGGCTGGCATTGTGATGTAGCAGGTTAAGCTGCCACCTGCAAGGCCAGAATCCCTTATAAGCGCTGGATCAAGTCCAGGCTGCTCCATTTCTGATTCAGGTCCCTGCTAATGTGCTTGGGAAAACAATGGAAATGGTTCAAGTACTTGGGCCCCTGCCACCACGTGGGAGACCCAGATGGAGTTCCAGGTTCCCGGATTCAGCCTGGCCCAGCCCCAGCTGCTGTAACCATTTGGGAAATAAACTAGTGGATGGAAGCCCTCTCTGTCTCTTCCTCTCTAACTCTGCCTTTCAAATAAATATTTTTTTTAATGACAATTTCTCAAGGACATGCAACTAGAAAACTACCCTGGCTGTTGTGAAGGCATCAAAGATTTAAAATAGAAGACACTACAAGTTATTTGTTAAATGGAAAGTAGGGAGTGGATAACAACATCCACTTGCAGTTGTTAAAGGCAGGTGAGAGGACGACCACTCCACTTAGAAAGCCACCAGAACACTGCCTCCCCGCACTGGTCTAACTGCTACCTCGGGATGCTGTCCTTTCCAACCTCTGCCCCAGTCAGACCAACTGTCCTTTCTAACCTCTGCCCCAGTTTCCACTACCATCTGCATACTGCTAATTCCAAAACATGGATAGGTTCTCTCTGGCCATAAGTTTTCCCTCCTGGAAGCCCCATAGCCCCTCAAACTCAACTCATCCAAGACTGATTCTGTCTTTCCTTCTGCACTCACTCTCCTGCATTCCCCTCAGGCTGAACGATGCCACCATTCCCACCGTTCACTCATTCACGCATCCATTCCAATATTTGCTGAGCACTCCTTATGTGCCAATTACTTTTCTAGAACCAGCAAGTCAGACATGCCTCTGGCGCTTTTAGCTGAGATCATAAGCCAAACTATGTTAGGAGCTGATCTACAAGTCTCCCTTCTATCTTGTTCCAACCAACCACCAAGCCCTATCAATTTCATCTTCCAAGAACATATATTAAGCCCCAGGCCCTCCACTCGAGCCACACTGTCACAATCCAGCCTTCATCATGCCACACCTGGATTATTTAAAGGGTCTCTTTTAAGCCCAACCATAATCCTCTCTCCAGATTCCACATCTCCCATCCCTACCACATCCCCAGTCAAGTCCACCCTCTACAGGCTGCCACAGGGAAATCTTATCACGCCATGGCCCGCCTTAAAACCTTCAATAGTGCCCTGCATCTGCATCTTCAGTCCAAATCCTTACAACATCTCAAGATTTTTTATGTCTTGGGTTTCATCTCCTGTACTGCCATCAACTCCCAGCCCCTGGATCTCATGAATACTCATGGAGACTGATGAACACTCATCCTGTTTTCAGCCTGGGACCTCGCACACACTCTTCTCACTTCCTGAAACCCTTTTTCCCCTATAGCCTTAACCCTGTCCCCAAGAAGTCTGCTTAATTCTAACACCCACCTTTGAGTCTGTCTAAATACCAGTTCCCTCACCCAGGAAGCAGGCCTCCATGTTCCTAGTTTGGGCTCAGTTTCTCTTCTTTAGGCCTCCTTAGTACCCTTTTCTTATTCAATCATGTCCTAAGGATGTATATAATGTCTGGTCCTAGTGGGAGCTCAATTATTACAAAATTAATGACAGAATATTTAAGGGGAAAAAACAATAAAAGAACTTCTGGAAAATATGAGATTATCACATCAAAAAAAAAAGTCTTTGTATTCATTTTTTCTAGAGCTCATTCTTCCCTAAGAACAGAAAACAAGCCCAATATGCATCATGAGTAAGGAATCCATAAGTTGTTTGAAAATAAAATGAAGCCTATGGGAGTCTATCAGGTGTGAAGCAACTTTCGGTGGTCTTTAGAACGATGAATTTCACCTGTCATTCAAGACTTCCCCCAGTAATCCTTACACTATTAGTTACCTGATCCGGGATTTTATTCTCTGTGACACTCTTACAGATATCTTGGTCCCAGATAAAGCTATGCGTACACTCCACAGGCACACCCTCCAGGAGCAGCTGTCTAACTTTCTCATTATCTAAGAGGGAAAAGAAATAGCCTTCAAATCACATCCTTTAGATCAATGAAGTCAAACTCTAAATGTTGGCGGTAGTTAGTGACAAAGATATGTTTTATAGGCATTTACTTAAATCTTTGAAGAATTTACTTGACAAGAAATTAAAACAGTTGGTTTCATAATCTATGAAAAAGCAAAGGCTCCTAAATGTTTTCCTTTGATATTTACTTTTTGATGTGTAAGATGCAAATATCACAATATTAAACTGTTTCTAAATAACTGCCTAATCCCACACTTAAGATTAATCAACAACTTCCAGAAGCCCCTGGAGAGGCAAACAATTCCTCTGGGAGATACCACATTACACACATAAGCCGTATTTTAACCACTGGCTTCAGGACTTCGTATTTCATTCATGGCCCAGTGGTAGTGAAGAACAGGGTACCATCCTCTTCTTAATGTCCCATATCTCGGCTGGCACCACGGCTCACTAGGCTAATCTTCCGCCTGCGGCGCCGGTACTCCGGGTTCTGGTCCCGGTTGGGGTGCCGGTTCTGTCCTGGTTGCTCCTCTTCCAGTCCAGCTCTCTGCTGTGGCCCCAGAAGGCAGTGGAGGATGGCCCAAGTCCTTGGGCCCTACACCAACATGGGAGACCAGGAGGAAGCGCCTGGCTCCTGGCTTTGGATCGGCACAGTGTGCCCGCCATAGCGGCCATTTGTGGGGTGAACCAAAGGAAAGGAAGACCTTTCTTTCTGTCTCTCTCTCTCTCTCACTGTCTAACTCTGCCTGTCAAAAAAAAAAAAAGTCTCAAATCTCTGGTAACTCATTTTTATTGAACTTTTTATTTTCATTTCTGTAAAACATTTTTTTCACTTCTTTAAAATCAGTATATTTTCTGTGAAACATACTGTTTCATCCCTTTAAATAAGCCACACAATGGTAGAAATAGTCTAGTGGACAAACATCTACACTGACAGAAGACATTTCCTATATGCAGCCTTTTAATCACGAAGGAAAAAGAACTTCCAAAGTTCATTTTGCTGAACTGAAGAGTTTAAAAAAAAAAAAACACACACACACAAAGACAATACATGAATTTTGGCTACTGTTCTAAAGGCCCACCTAGAAAGGTCACTCAAGGCACGCACCTGTGTGGGTCTGATGGCTGGGGAAAAACAAGTTAGTTGGAAGTGACTGGGAGAATAAAGAGAAAATTCAGTGGATGAAAAGGTCTGAGATGACAGCTGCTGAAGAGCAGCCCAAGCTTCAGTACCGACTCTTCCTCGCGGAAGGGCCAAAGGTGACAGCCGGCCTGGAGCACACAAGCTCCGCCCCACCCACCAAGCTGCAGCCCCACCCGAGCACTCTCCTGGGGAGCCTGCCAGGGATTCGGGCAGCAGAACTGGGATTGGATTCAGACCAAGTTGTGGCCAAAAGAGATGGTGAGACATAGGGTATAAAGACATGGGCAAGCACTACCTCATCTTTTCTCAAAAACGAATAAACAGACAAAGGAGGTGGTCCATCCAGACAACGGAATCTTACACAATGCTAAAAGGAAAGGAGCTCTCAGGCCATGAAAAGACACATACAGACTGCTAAGAGAAAGAAGCCAGTTTTAAAAGACTACACACTGCATGAGTCCAACTATAGGATATTCTGGAAAGGAAAAATAAAAGAGACGGTAAAAAGCTCAATGGTCATCTACAGGAGTCGGCAGGGAAGTCAGGACAAAGAAGCAGCACAGAGGATCCCCAGAGCCTCTGCAGGATAATGATGGACACACATCAGTCTGCATTTGTCAAAACCCACAGGATGTGCATCATCAAGAGCGAGCCTCCTGTAAACTACGGGCTCTGGGTGATAATGAGGTACCAGAGTCGGCTCTGGATGGTCACAAGCAGAATCACTCTGGGGAGGGCGCGGACTAGAGTGGCTATCCCTGTGTCGGGGAAGGGGAATATGGGAACTTGCTGAACCTCTGCTCAATTTTGCAATAAACTGAAAACTGCTTTAAAAATAGTCTTTTAGCTGGTGCCGTGGCTCAATAGGCTAATCCTCCACCTTGCAACGCTAGCACACCGGGTTCTAGTCCCGGTTGGGGCGCCGGATTCTGTCCCGGTTGCCCCTCTTCCAGGCCAGCTCTCTGCTGTGGCCAGGGAGTGCAGTGGAGGATGGCCCAAGTACTTGGGCCCTGCACCCGCATGGGAGATCAGGAGAAGCACCTGGCTCCTGGCTTCGGATCAGTGTGGTGCGCCGGCCACGGCGGCCATTGGAGGGTGAACCAACGGCAAAAGGAAGACCTTTCTCTCTATCTCTCACTCACTGTCCACTCTGCCTGTCCAAAAAAAAAAAAAAAAGTCTTTTTTTTAAGATTTATTTATTTGAAAGGCAAAGTTAGAAAGGAGAGAGGCAGAAAGACAGGGAGGTCTTCCATCTGCTGGTTTATCCCCCAGTTGGCCACAACGGCTGGAGCTAGACTGATCCAAAACCAGGAACCAAGAGTTTCTTCCAGGTCTTCTACAAAGGTGCTGGGGCCCAAGAACTTGGGTCATCTTCTACTGCTTTCCCAGGCCATAGCAGAGAACTGGATTGGAAGTGGAGCAGCCAGGACTCAAACCCGCGCCCACATTGGATGCCAGCATTGCAGGCGGTGGCTTTACCCACTACGTCACAGCGCTGGCCCAAAAAGTGCTTTTAAAACAGTGAAACATGTCTGAGGGCAAAGGGGAAAGCCCTTTTAGGTCAAGTGTCTGCTGGGGGAGGCTGAGAACAGGACCAGCTGAGTCAGCGCGCACATCTGCACAGGCTTAGGATGACCATGACCTTGACTTCGATTTCTGAACATCTGAGTCCTTCCCCTGAGGCTCACATAAAGTACCTTCTTTTCATACCCAGACCAGAGTCTTCAAATTGATAATATTAACTAGATTTGTGACTTGGAGAATGAGGAAATTGCTTGTTTCCTCCTTTCTTAAATATATTTAAAGATCATCAAATGTTAAATTTAAACACTCTTAAAACAGGCCCGGCAGCCGGCGCCGTAGCTCACTAGGCTAATCCTCCGCTTGCAGCGCCGGCACACCGCGTTCTAGTCCCGGTTGGGGCGCCGGTTCTGTCCCGGTTGCTCCTCTTCCAGTCCAGCTCTCTGCTGTGGCCAGGGAGTGCAGTGGAGGATGGCCCAAGTGCTTGGGCCCTGCACCCCATGGGAGACCAGGATAAGTACCTGGCTCCTGGCTCCAGATCGGCGCAACACGCCGGCCGTAGCAGCCATTTGGGGGGTGAACCAACGGAAAGGAAGACCTTTCTCTCTGTCTCTCTCTCTCTCTCTCTGTCTAATCCGCCTGTCAAAAAAAAAAAAAAAAAATTCATTCCATAAAAAAATTAAAAAAAAAAAAACAAAACAGGCCCGGTGCTGTGGCGCAGCAGGTTAAAGCCCCAGCCTGCAGCACCGGCATCCCATATAGGCACTGGTTCGAGTCCTAGCTGCTCCACTTCCAATCCAGCTCTCTGCGATGGCCTGGGAAAGCAGTAGATGACAACCCAAGTCCTTGGGCCCCTGCACCAATGTGGAAACCTAGAAAAAGCTCCTGGATCCTGGCTTTGGATTGGCTCAGCTCTGGCCACTGCAGCCATTTGGGGAGTGAACCAGCGGATGGAAGACCTCTCTCTCTGTAACTCTTTCAAATAAATAAAATTAAATTAAAAAAAAAAAAAAACTCAATGAATTTTACTTAAGGGAAACTACTATAAGGCTTTATCATTTTGGAATCAAATAAAACCCAAGTTACAGCTTTCAAATCCACTCCAGAGTTAAGTAAACAGGCAGGACAGTTAAAGCTGACCAGCTGAACTGAAATTATTTGGGTTTGGGTTTGTGTGGGTTTTTTTCTTTCAGGAGCAGAAACAGAAGTTGTGACAATATGACCACTACCTGGGCATTTCTGAAAGTCAACTGCAGACCTGTGAGAGCTGTAAAGAGTAAAGGGATGACCTCCCACCTTCATCCTAAGGGGAGCTGGGCATCTGGCATGCTTTGGGTCGTATGGCAAAGTCAAATTACCTAAAGCATATGAGCACAATCAAGAAATCCCTGTCAGGCAGACGAAGTCTAGGTAAAATAATCTGTAAAAACAAATCAGCAAATGCTAAGGAGAACAAAAATTAACAAACAGTACAGTGGAACTTAGACTTTCTAGAAAGCCAGTTACTTACATGGCAAAATGCTGTGTTAATGAAATTGTTAAAAGATTTGCAGAAACAGAATGTTAATATTTAATTCATACTCAAGACACACAGGATTAAGCAAACTTTTGCCACAGCATCTAGGATAAGTATTCTCACTTCAGGTTTTTCACATGCCTTCTCTTTTAAAAGCACGCCAATGCCCAGACAAACATGAAGACAAAAAGTTTGTGCTTCTGATCCAAGTCAGGCAATCCCTTCTTTATGGTTCAAGCCAGCACCAGAGCTGGTCTGTTCTGCCCAAGGCACAGAATGACTTCAAATACAGAAAGGCAGGCTGGAGTTATGTCACACTGGCACTTCAGGGATTAATCAAAGTTTATTTCTAGTTTTCGTTCTGAATTATCATCTGAGATGTCAAATTTAATATCGCTTTAATATTGATTCCTTAAAAAGTTAGTTCTGTATGTAGTTCACATGCCAAATAAAACACTTCTTCAAAGAAGTTACATGAAACAGGTTTTCTTGAAATACTACGTTAACGCAGGTGCCGCGGCTCACTAGGCTAATCCTCCACCTTGCGGCACCGGCACACCAGGTTCTAGTTCCGGTCAGGGTGCCGGATTCTGTCCCGGTTGCCCCTCTTCCAGGCCAGCTCTCTGCTGTGGCCAGGGAGTGCAGTGGAGGATGGCCCACTTGGGCCCTGCACTCCATGGGAGACCAGGATAAGTACCTGGCTCCTGCCATCAGATTAGCGCGGTGCGCCGGCCGCGGCGGCCATTGGAGGGTGAACCAACGGCAAAGGAAGACCTTTCTCTCTGTCTCTCTCTCTCACTGTCCACTCTGCCTGTCAAAAAAATTAAAAAAAAAAAAATACTATGTTAACAAGATAGTAAGCTTTTATAGCAGCAATTAAGTCATGTTTTTCAAGGCAGACTTTAATATTCCTTGACCACATTCAAGTTAAGACTTAGAAAGGATTCAATGCATAAATGCTTCATTCCAAAAAACAGATTGGAGGTAGTAAGAGAAACTGGGCAGAGTTTAAACATGGCTTTAGGATGATGATGACAGTCAACAATTAATGGTGTAGTGGATGCTACAATTTTTAGGGCTACATCAGACCACACTGCATTAAAAAAAAAAAAAAAAAGAGGCAATAACTCACTGATTAAAGTCTTAGGCTCCATAATTAACTAACTTACTTGTATAATCTTCAACCTCCGCTCTCATCCAGTCCACTTTTTATTTGAAGTTCTCAGGGTAATTAATGTAATACCTTCTTAAGAAGCTAGCTAACTACATGTAGACATTAAAAAAAAATTTAAAAAGCTAAAGTTGTTACAACACACACATATGCTTTTTATACAAAAATTCACAAAGTAATTTCAAGTACTCTTCCAATTAATCATGTTTGAGTGACAGTAAATACAATGAGACACATTTGCTGCAAATTCCAGATCCGACAAAAGGTTTAGCCAGCCCCTCCCCACCTCCTAAGACCACCCCAGCAAATCACTGTCTCTTCAGTCTAAATCATACATCTGATACTTCAGCACCTGGAATGGCCTTGCCAGGATTCGAACCTGGATCATCTGTATGGTCAGACAGAGGCTTCCACTGAGCACAAGACCAGCTGCAGGTGCGGAGCCCTTCCTCACAGTTAAAATTCTGAAACGCCAGGCATTTTCAGAGTCCAGCATGCAGAGTCAGGTTTTACTAGACACTAAAAAGTAGAGAGCTCAGAAAAGCATATATGACAGAGGGATACAGCTACATGTTTTACAGCTAAGACACGTTCACACATACCATCTCCTTCAATGATGCTATCTTCGTGGGCAGGTAAAGAGCCCCCTGAATTTTCACAGGTGAAATTACAGCAGAGGTGTCAGAAAGAGAACTTTTCTAACGGGATGGAACTGCTCAAAAAAAAGGAAAACCAGGGATGTTTTAAGAACTTTACCTAGACATTTCTCTGGATTGGTTGAAGCTTTGGTCCTCTTTTGGGGCAAATTTATTCGAGGATCCCCAATTGTCAATCCCAGGACAGTACCTGCTGGAATTTCTGCTGGTGATGTTATTCCTTTAACAAAACAAAATCAAAAACCCCAACTTAAATGGAGTCATTCACTATATACACATCTTTGCTCATATTTTCCAATCTTTCAGTTTTTCTGATGAGACATTCTTCTTGGGGTCTGGCGTGTGGCACAGTGAATCAGGCCACCACCTAAAATGCCAGCATCCCATAGGCATCAGTTTGACCCCCGGCTGCTCTGCTTCTGATCCAGCTCCCTGCTAATGTGTCTAGGAAAACAGCAGAAAATAGCCCAAGTGCTTAGGCCCCTGCCACCCACATGGGAAACTTGGATGAAGCTCCTGGCTTTGGCCTGGTCCAGCCCTGGCCATTGTGGCCATTTGGGAAATGAATCAGTAAAAGCAAGATCTCTCCCCCTCTCTAACTCCTTTTCAAATAAATAAATCTTTAAAAGAAAAGAAACACTCTTCTTGGCCTAATTATTTTAAAATATGTGTTCCTTTTCCCCCATTGGTACTTGCAGAGAATAATTTAACCATTCATCAAGAGTGAAGCTTCCAAAGGGGCCGCGCTGTGGTGTTGTGGGTAAAGCCACCGCCTGCAGTGCCAACATCCCATACAGATGCCAGTTCGAGAACAGGCTATTCCAATTCCAATCCAGCTCTCTGCTATGGCCTGGGAAAGCAGCAGCAGATGACCCAAGTCCTTGGGCCCCTGCACCCGAGTGGGAGACCCGGAATAAGCTCCTAGCTCCTGGCTTCAGATCGGCACAGCTCTAGCTATTGTGACCAATTGGGGAGTGAACCAGTGGGTGGAAGACCTCTCTCTCTCTGCATCTCTTTCTCTGTGTAACTCTTTCAAATAAATAAATAAATCTTAAAAAAAAAAAAAAAAAAAGAGTGAAGCTTTCTGGAAAAAAAACCGAAAAGCCCATTAACTTCAATCCATCAGTGATGACTATGGCACCTATGAACACAAGGGCAACATCGGCAGGCAAGGACCAGGCAGGTGCACTTATCTAGAATATCACAGTGCCAGTTATTTAGAAGACTGACATCTTCCTTGCTTGCACTTCCATAAACAAACACGAACACAGTCATCCCCTGAGGTCAGCCCCTCTCCTACCTGCTTCTAGTGCTGTGTGGTAACCAAGAGCCCCAAGTGTGTAGCTGTACTCTTGTGGGAGGCCCAGCTGCAAAATGTTACCACTTCCCACTCCCCCGCTTCCTCCCGAGGACACCCTAGTAGCCCCAGATACCTCCCAACAATTCAAAAACGGCTTCTTGTTTGCGATGAAGGCACACGCTGTCAGGATTCTTACAGGCTTCCATCCACCAGTGGTGAGGCGTCTCCTCCGTGTCCTGGCCCTCCTGAAAAACAGCAACTCCTGCTCACCAGAACAACATGGAATCAGACTCACTCACTCTGGGCTGCTTGAGATCTCGGCCATTCCTTTCTCTCCTGTGGGTGACAATGAGTGACTTACGGCGGGAAGCAGGGAACACGCCACCCTATTTAACAGGACTGCCCTTCTAATTAGTGGCAAGGATGTGGCACTGTACTTCTCTAGAGACCAGCCACACTACGCACTTCACGCTCAGTCTCCTGAGCACAGGACGGACGAGACAGGCTCTGAGCCTCTCCTTCCCCGTCAATGAAATGTTCCCACCAAAGGCAAACCAAAGCACCTATCAAAGTTTTTGTACTAAAGTAAACTTATCCTTTAATTCCATTTATCCACGAGCCTAGTAAAGTTCCCTCTAATATTACCACAGTATTCCTGGAAATGTGGAGTAAGATGCATGAGCATTTCACTGTCCTTTTTCCAGACAGAATTAGGAACTGGGCAAGGCTTCACAAATTCTCAGGAGTGCCACAAGAACCTGCAGCCACCATTCACACTGCGGTGCACTGAAGTAGGCAGCCATCCTACAGAGCCTAAAGAGGAACCTATAACACAGGTGCCTCTTAAACAAAGAAACACAGGGGCCAAAACTCCAGGAATTCTAGAACCAAACCTTATAGACGCAGATGGTCACATCTTATCCCTACTGTGGACTACCTTTCCTGTGCCAAGCTCTAAGCACCAGGGACAGAGTGAGGAGTACCTAGCCATCATGAGGCTCACAATGGACCTTACAAAACCAGACAAATCTGTATGAACTGGGGGGGCGTTCTGAACACAAAAGGAGGGATTACCTTCACTTGGGGGATCGGGACAGGGGTCTGCAGGGAAACAGACTGAACCCTGAAGGACGAGGAAGGCTCAGCCAAGCAGAGGACCTGCAGGCAGAGTGCTACGGCAAGCAAGAAACAAAAACAAGCACTAAGGCTCTGGAGATGGGAAGTGACTCATTTGCGAACCCGAGAGACCAGCGTAGCCGAAGTGCAGAAGGAGAGGAGCTAAGAGGGCACTGCGGCAGGAAGGCATGATGTTATGCAGGTCGCATTACGACCTCTGGGCTTCATCTTGAACACAATGAGAAGTTGTTCAAACACTTTTCATCACAAAGGAACATATTGTGAATACGTTATTAAAAGATCACCCTGGCTACGCATGCAGTTTTCTCATAATGTGCATTTTTCCATGAATTTTCAGAAGACCCCTTCAGTGCATGGATTTCAAATGTTTTTTTACAACAAAATGAAATCTTTCAGTTCTTCCACAAACTTTGTCAAGTCCTTTGCGTCTGAACACGTCCAATCTGTGAGAGGCACAGGCACTGAAAGGCTACTTGCACTAAGCAGGCAAACAGAGCAGCACTCCTGCGCCAGATTCCTCCGCTAACTTCTCTCTATATTCTACCAGTAGTGGCAAACCTTTTTACTGCCAAGGGCCATTTAGACATTTATAACATTATCTGCAGGCCACACAAAATTATCCACTTAAAAATTAGCCTGCTGCAGATTCACTGAATTTCAAGCCACCCCCACAGTTGCCTTGGCAGGGCCAGAGCAAGTGATTTTGCCGGCCTCACGTCCCCGAGCCCTGGTTTAAAAGCTACGGCTTGAGATGCTACCAGGCCATGTACTGGTATAGGTTTCACAAATCTACCAAGAAAACCAGGACTAGAATGAGACCTCACAGTCACGTTTACTCTTACAGTGTGGACAGCAGCGGCCTTCAGAGCCTCCGTCAGGATGGAGTGGGAGAGAGGGCCAATCAGCCGGAATCTGTTCATCTCTGTCGTCAAGTCACTGGAAGAGAGAAGAGGTCTTAAATGGGAAATTCTGTCATATACAAAGTCTGTGCCCCCGGCACAAGGGGAGGCCTCACCAAAAGTATCCAGAGGGTTCAGAGTGAACTCACACTCGTACCTGATCAGAATGCCTGTGGTCAGGGAGAGCCAAGCGTATGGTTGGTGTGGGTCTCTAGTTCCATCACCAATCACTTTTTTAATTGGTTTAACAATCTCCCCATTGTCTTTTCTCTTTCTTTTCTTGCCAATTTGCTCCTCTGGCAGTTCAGCCTGGTTCTTCTCCTGAGACTGTGTCTGGAGCGGGTCGGGGATGCCCAAAGTCGGCCTGATGGGTTCCGTACACTGGCACACTGTTTTTATTTCCTCTAAGATATCCTACGGAGACGTACACATTTACTTTCACATTCTGAAATAAGCACACTGTTGCAAGTTTATTATGTTTTTACCTCTTTAAATAATGCACATTTTTATCCCTTCACAAATTATACTAAATTTATCATCATCAGAAAAAGCTCTTTTGGCTTTCCTAATTGGGAAGTATATGGCCCTTAAACAAACAAACAAAAAAAACTAAATATCAATTATGAAAACAACATGACCAGTTTTACCAACTGTATAAAAAGAGAAACAAAGAACAAGTCTAAGGAGAAAATTTAAAGCCTATTGTAAAAGCAGTGAATATGCTATTTAGCTAAGCTAAATGCAGTATCAAAAATCATAAGAATTATAGCTTCTCACTATCAAATAGGCTCTAGCAAGCAGCTAGATACCAATGAACCAAGCCAAAATGGTGGAAGCGGTAATCCAAATACAGTATTCCAAATAACTAACAATAACACGGTTGCTTTTCATTTTTTACTTCTGCTTATGATCTACTAAAAAACAAAAGGTCAGGATTTGCCTCATTCTGTATGATATACTCCTTCATCTAATGTATAGCATGGGTGGTAGTGGAGGTGTCAGTTTCATTGTGGTAATCATCATACAATGTATACATCCGTCAAGTCATCATACCATACATCTTGAATATTCCATCTTTGTCAACTACATATTTTATAATAAAAATTTTTTAAAATAAAAATTTAAAGAATATATATTGCTTCTCCTCTTCTACCCCAGGGACAGTGATGCTAAGCAGTTCCCAGATAAGGAGGTGGGATTTCAGTTAGTATTGGTGCATCTTCAAGTTCTCTCACCCCACAAATTCAATAAGGTGTTTCAACCTCCCCGCAAAAAATTGCTTCCTTCCGAATCCCCTCTGTTGAAATATCAAACTGTCAACCACACTGCCACACTATGTACATTTTTACAGAACTGAAGAATTTAATAACAGAAGGTCAGGAAAATAACCCCAAAGATGATACCTGTTTAAGAGTTGGATGAAGCCAGATCCACAGCTGCCGGCTCTCGGAAGGGTCCCCAGGGGTCGTCTCAGCCCTCCAAATAAACGTAGCAGGCCCAAGCACCTCTCTGGGATACTTATTTGCCCGGTAAAGCATGAGACTTCCCTGGCGCTTTCCAGATAAGCAGTGCACTGCTGCAAAGGTCAGTCCTGACACAAACAAGAGAAAACCCCATGATCCTCAGGGTTGAGAATACAGGAAAGTATCTTGAGAGCCACACTGCCTATTCACTGTCAGTCTGCACAGCAGATGAAGCTTTGGTGTGGATCCCTGCTTAGATGAAAGCCTGGCATACAGGAAGTTCTCAATAAATATGTTTTAACGGGCTGGTGCTGTGGTGTAGCACTACCTGCAGTGCCAGCATCCCATATGGATGCCGGTTCGAGTCCCAGCTGCTCCATTTCCCATCCAGCTCCCTGCAGGTGTGCCTGGGAATGCAGCATAAGACAGATCAAGTGTTTGGGCCCCTGCACCCACGTGGCAGACCCAGATGAAGCTCCAGGTCCCTGGTTTCAGATTGGCCCAGCTCTGGCTGCTGCGGTGATTTAGGGAGTGAGCCAGTGGATAGACGACCTCTCTCTCTCTCTCTCTTTTTTTCTCTCTCTCTCTCTCTGCCTCTCTGTAACTCTTTTAAGTAAATAAATAAAATCTTAAAATAATAATTATTAAATGAATGAGAATTAAATTTTTTAATTTAATGAGTTTTGAGTTTCTCCCTACCTAAGAGAGAAGTTTCTTCACTCCGTCAGAACAACAATCTCCTACTCCACCCTTGACATGTTACACATGATTTAAATACAACCCCGAATTTCTTAACACGCTCATGGGAAACAAGAACTGTCTCACCCATTTTTATCTATGCGTAAATTCCAAAAAGCTTCCAGTAGATACTTGTTCATGAAACGAGCAAATATACAAAAGTAACATACAACCCAGCTTTGAAATAAGATTACCTGTGTCCATGCTACACATCTGAGAAAGTGCCTTTAGTATTTCTTCCTCTTTGCCTTTCAACTCCAAACAACAGTAGTAGGATAAATCCTGTATAAAAGGGGAAACATAACAAAATACCTAAGAACATACCTCTGGCAAAACTGCTAAGAAGCCAAATCCAAATCAGAAAACTTCTGGACATCCAAAACACAGAACAAACTGCTAAAGCTAGCTTTTTGGTGAGTTGAAATCTGAAAACCACCCATTCCTATTACATTAACAAATATTCTTAAACTAATTTCAATCAAAATCAGTGCCTTACTTGAAAAATCCATGTTTTATCTCATAATCAAAGGCAGGTTCTAAATAGGGTATAAAAACTGCTGCTTCTGGGGTGGGCTGCTCCACTTCCAATCCAGCTCTCTGCTAATGCACCTGGGAAAGCAATGAAGATGGCCCAAGTGTTTGGGTCCCTGTACCCACGTGGGAGAACTGGAAGATATCCTGGCTCAGACCAGATCCAGCCATTGTGGCCACTTGGGGAGTGAACCAGCAGATGGAAGATCTCTCTCTTTGACTCTTCCTCTCTCACCTGGAATTCTGCCTCTCAAATAAATAAATAAATTTTTTTTTTAAAAAAAAAAGATCTTTGGCATAATTTTTAAAATGTTTTAAGTCCTAAAACAACTGCTTATAAGGATTATTCATCCCCAAAATCTACTTAACGTGAGAAAACAAAGTCAGTTAGGCAAGACATAATAAATCCTGCAAAGGCCGGCGCCACGGCTCACTAGGCTAATCCTCCGCCTTGCTCCTGGCTTCTCCCTAGCCCAGCCCTGGCTGATGCAGGCATTTGCAAATGGTAGCTCTCTCTCATTCTCTGTCATTCCAATAAAATGAAAATAAATTAAAAGCTTAAAATAAATAAATAGAGGCCAGTGCCGAGGTACAGCAGGCTAAGCCTCCGCCTGCCTCCACCTGCAGCTCCAGCATCCCAGATGGGCACTGGTTCAAGTCCCAGCTGTTCTGTTACGGCTTGGGAAAGCAGTAGAAGATGGCCCAAGTGCTTGGGTCCCTGAACCTGCATGGGAGACCCAGAAGCTCCTGGCTTCGGATTAGCCCAGCTCTGTCCCACTGCAGCCATCTGAGGAGTGGACCAGTGGATGGAAGACCTTTCTCTCTGTCTCTCCCTCTCTATGTCTGTAAATAAATAAAATCTTTAAAAATAAATAAATAAATAAAGTGGACAACCTCACAGATAGGACTTTGGCATACCGTGAACTATTCTAAAAGTCTACATTGGGGAGCTGGCTTTGTGGTGTAGCGGGTTAAGCCACTGTCTACAAAGTTGGCATCCTATATGGGCGGCAGTTCAGGTCTCGGCTACTCCACTTCCAATCCAGCTCCCTGTTAATGTGCCTGGGAAAGCAGTGGAAGAAGGCCCAAATCTTTAGGTCCCTGCACCCACATGGGAGATCCAGATGAAGCTCCTGCCTCCTGGCTTTGGCCTAGACCACCAAGGGCCATGCAGCCAGTTGGGGAATAAACTAGCAGATGGAAGATCTCTCTCTCTCTCCCTCTCTCTGGAACTCTACCTTTCAATTAAATGAAATACATTGTTAAAAATAAATAAAATGAAAACAAATAAAAATCTCCATTTGAAAACGTGTAAAACCAGGCGGAAAAGCGCACCTGCAGGAGGCAGCGGCTTGTCATGGCTCGATAGCAGGCTCTGTGGCTCTTGACTGTCGGCCTCTCGCCCAGGCAGTAGCCCCACTTCTTGACCATGTGGAAGCGTTTGGCGTGCCAGATGTGAGTTTCCAACCACATGTTCTTCTTTTGTCTACGGTTAAATTCCAGCACCCGGTTTATGTGACATCTTCGAGCTTTATGGCATTTGTTTTTCGAGTGTTCTTTTTTCTGATGTACAGCTTTCTCAGCCTACGGTTTCACAAAGAGAGATCCCAGCTTGTCAGCACCTCAGAACAAAACTCAACATCGGGAATTCAAACAGCTAACTTTAGATTAAGTGGAAACTAAAGATTTCATTAAGTTTGCTTAATTTTTTATCTTGGTGGTAAGCAGAGAAGAGAGACAAGGGGAAGAGTGAACATATAAGAGTCAGGCAAAGCTAGGAAGGAAGCACAGTTCTACCACTAACTGCATGGACCGTGAAGATTAGGATACTTACAAAATAGTCAGCTATTAACATTAGAGAGCAAGAAAGAACAAATCAAAAGCTGGCTTATTGTCATTTCAACCTGGAACACTGTAATTAAACCCAAAAACTTAAGACCAAAACACAACAGTGGGAAAAACCCACTGACAGACAAATGCTGAAAGTTATCACTGGGAAACAGACTTTCCATTAAATCTAGAAAGTACAAAATTCCTGGTTAATTTGCACTCTCAATTTCTTCCACAGCTAAGCTAAATTTTTAAGAAAAAAAAATTCTTTCCTGTTAGTTCTGAGTCATATAAAGATAGGGACTTTGGTGTGTTGAACTCTAACCCCACCCAAACAGGATCGGTATATAGAAGACTGCTCAATAAATAAATTCTAAACAATCAGTAAAGATGTGAGAAGCAGAGCAGGTATTTGGCACAATGGTTAAGATGCCATTTGGGATGCCCACGTCCCATATCAGAGTGCCTAGGCCGCTCTATTTCCAAGCTAGCTTCCTGCTGATGAACACGGGAGGTAGCCAGTGATGGCTCGGGTACTTATGTCTGCCAACCGCATGGAAGACCTGGATTGAAAAATTTGGCTTCAGCCTGTTTCTGCCTTTCAAATAAAATATAAATAAATCAACATGACATGTGTTGAACTCTACTTAAAAAAAAAAAAAAAAAAAAGACATGGGTAGCTTAAATTGTCTCAGAGAATGTTCAGGTCCAGAATTTTGCTGAAGCCAAAACACCACTAGAATTGTACAAAAATTAAAACAAAGTTCAAGTTTTCAACCCTGGAAAAGGCAAACAGTAGGCATTAATGCTGTACTTTTTACCTTCCAACCCCAAGTTGGCCACATCTCCAAATCACAGAACCAAAACTGTCTACCCAGTAAGAGGGTCAGAATCTCATTTTAAATCCAGGAGGGAAACATCAACTATTCAGCACCATTAAAAGACAGGAATTCCAAATGCTGCATCTGACAGCAGCTGTAATACTGAACTGCCTGCAAATCTGGCCTGGGAGTTGGAAGGACAGGACTGAATGATTGCATCAAATGTGCCTCTGCCACTACCACCACTACCACCATCCCCACCCCCACCTCCACCCCCAAAAGCATGCCATAAGGAGTGTGTTTTTCCTGGTTTTTCATTTTAATAGATTCTGTTAGATCAATATCTCTCCATTTCTTCTCGGACCTCTACCCTGAACAGTGGTACCAAGTGCAGTTCCCACCTCTTTCTGGGCCATTTCCTGTAATCGGCGAGGAAGGCGTCGGACGTTGTGGCTCATGGCTCTCCGTCTCATGTGCCGAGGCAGGGTCTGGAAGACCAGTGAGTTCGAAGACTTCTGGGTCACAGCTTTCAGCATAGCTCTGATTTCAGCAGCCCGTGCTTGGGCAAAGGTAGAAGCTGTCGAAGAAAAGGAGAGAGTCACTGCACACAAGTCTTGAATGCACACTGCTTTTTTTGGCTGGATTTCAGAAGGAAGACAGATTTGAAATTCCTCCAGCACCCCAAGCCCCCTCTCAGGTGAACACTGATGGTGGTTATTCCTGTGCTAACAACACTGTCTGACTGTTCTTCATCAACTAACTTTAGTTTAAGTTTTCTATAAGCATTCAGTTTTATTTTTCTAATGAGAAAAAATGGTTTAGGGGCCGGTATTGTGGCATAGCAGGTAATGCTACTGCCTGCAAATGAATGGGCCTGTTGGATGTCGGTTCAAGTTCTCACTGCTCCACTGCTGATCCAGCTCCCTGCTAATGTTCTGAGAAAAGCAGTAAAAGGCAGTTCAAGTCCTTGAGCCTCTGCCGCCCACATGGGAGACCCAGATGAAGGTCCTGGTTCAGTTGTAGCCATCTGGGGAATGAACTAGCGAATGGAAGATCTCTCTCTCTGTTTCTTCCTCTTCTTCTTCTCTCTCTTTCTCTCTGTAACTCTTTCAAATAAATAAATCAATCTTAAAAAAATTAGTTTGAAAACAATTTTACAAATTTTTAAAAACAGGAGTCTTCATGCAATACATTCCATGCAGTATATATACACACAATATGGTCACAGCTATTTTTAGGTGCAGTAATCACAGAGGGAAACAAAATGTTAACACTGCTTTTGACTACAGGGCATTTTCCCTTATTATTTTCTGCCTTTTCCAAATCTTAGTGACTTCAAAAACTTCATGGAAAAGGCACATTATATCTTCATCCCATTTTTTCGTGAACATTTTTGAAGCCCCTTCATATATGTCTATTATTGGTTTTCTTTATCGAAATACAGATTCTTGTTTTTTGAAGAGTAAACAGTGTAACAGGGAAACTTCTGTAAATTCCTCCAAGAAGGCACTGAGCAGGACCAGAAGAACCATCTCAGGTGTACACAAGGAACACGGGTTTGTGTGATAGAGGAGATGGGAGTGATGAGGACATGACAGATGAGGCCAGAAAGCCTGGCCACAGGCCCTTTAAAGGGAGGTCTTGGTTGCCACTGCAATTATTACATTTGGTTCCATCTTTGGAGAATGCAGTCCCAAGGAGTGTGGATGGCACATTTACAGGAGGAAGGGACAGGGGTGCAGAGAGTAACAGTTCACAAATAAGCACTTGCAAGAGGAGTAAGAGAAGAGAACCCCAAGAATGGAAATCCAAGGGTCAGTGCTGTCGTGTAGCGGGTAAAGCTGCAACCTGCAGTACCGGCATTCCTTATAGGAACTGGTTCGAGTCCTGACTGCTCCACTTCTGATCCAGCTCCCTGCTAATGCGCCTGGGAAAGCAGCAGAAGATGGCCCAATACTTAGGCCCCTGCACACATTTGGGAGACCCGGAAGAAGATCCTGGCTCCTGGCTTTGCTTGGCCCAGCCCTAGGCATTGTAGCCATTTGGGGAGTGAACCAGTGGATGGAAGATCTCTCTCTGTAACTCTGCCTTTCAAATAAATAAAAAAAATCTTAAAATAAATAAATAAAGCTTTAAAAAAAAAGTCTGGACTGGAGGTGAGGAGGGCCTGGAGTGGAAGGGGCAGAGGGGAGAGGAGGGAGAGGGCACTCTGCGGGCACACGGCTGCACCAGAAACAAGGCACTCACACCTCCAACAGACTGCATCAGACAGACACCCACCGGTTATGTACTTGGGGATCTCCTGGGAAGTGCCCTCAGGGCCTGCTTTCCAGCCTCCCTTTTTCTTAAACGTGACTTTGGAAGAACACAGCTCATTTCCGTCAGGCTCAGACAGTGAGTGGGGGGTCATTCTGGTTTGCCGCTGTCGTGTAGTTCCAGAGTGAGGCTCTAGTAGGTTTTCAAAAAGGAAACAAGAAGAAATGTCACTCTTACCAGGAATAAGGATCGTAGGGGAGAACTAACATTTGCTGGGTGGCTATACTGATCAATCACCCTGTAAAGTGGCTATTGCTATTTCTTTTCAAAGAGGCAGGATCTCCAGGAGGGAGGTCACAAAGCTAGGTGCCAGCACACTAGGTAATCATGTCAGTATGACATATAGAGAAACTTGGATATAAACAGATACAAGGAAAACAACCCCATCTACAGTTTCCTGTTAATGCCTGAGTTTGTGCCTCACCCCAAAATGTATGTGTTAAAAGTCTAACCCTTGGTCAGCATGTGGCTCACTAGGCTAATCCTCTGCTTGCGGCACCAGTACCCCAGGTTCTACTCCCAGTTGGGGTGCCGGATTCTGTCCCGGTTGCTCCTCTTCCAGTCCAGCTCTCTGCTGTGGCCCCGGAAGGCAGTGGAGGATGGCCCAAGTGCTTGGGCCCTGCACCCACATGGGAGGCCAGGAGGAGGCACCTGGCTCCTGGTTTTGGATCGGCGCAGCGCACTGGCCATAGCAGCCATTTGGGGGGTGAACCAATGGAAGGAAGACCTTTCTCTCTGTCTCTCTCGCTCTCTAACTGCCTGTCCAAAAAAAAAAAAAAAGTCTAACCCTGGGTTGGCACTGTGGCATAGCAGGTAAAGCTACCATGGCCTGCAGTGCCAGCATCCCATATGGATGCTGGTTCAAGTCCTGGGTGCTCCACTTCTGATCCAGCTCCCTACTAATGTGTCTAGGAAAGAAATGAAAGAAGACCCAAGTACTTGGGCCCCTGCACCCACATGGGAAATCTAGAAGAAGCTCCTGACTCCTGGCTTTGGCCTGGCACAGCCCTGGCCATGGCAGCCATTTGGGGAGTGAACCAGCTAATGGAAGACCTCTGTCTCTCTGTGTCTCTCCCTCTATATAACTCTGACCTACAAAAAAATAAATAAATCTTTAAAAAAGAAAAGTCTAACCCCAAGTGGATGATATGACGAGGCAGGGCCTTTGGGAGGCGGTTAGGTCACCTGGGTAGAGCCCCCATGAATGGGAACAGTGCCTTTATAAGAAAAGCCCCATCAGCTGGTGTGGACACAGTGAGAAGGCAACCTCTGTAAACCAAAATGCAAATCCTCTCCAGACCCCAAATCTGACAGCACCTCGGTCCTGGCCTTCCCAGCCTCCAGAACTGGGAGAAAAACATTTCTATTATTTAGAAGCTACCCAGTTTATGTTATCTTACTACAGCAGCCAAAAAACCCACCCTTACATAATATGTAATCCACATGATTTCGTATATTCAGTTTTAACCACTCAGGTTGACAGCCACTGTGCTAAATCAGAGAAAGAATTAAAAGTAAAGTCTCTATTCAAACATCTGGATGTTGATAGCATTCTGACCTTAGGATAACATCAAATGTCTGTCTCAAGCGGGGGAGAACAATGGTTAATTTTACAGGGCTCTTGCTTATTTCCACTGTGGTGTTAATGATTAAGCCACTATAATCTGGAAGCAGTAACAAGGTTTGTCATTATGAGGTTTTAATGAGTAAATACACATGAAGGGACTTCCACATGGCATGGTAGATACCAACTATAGGATCTGAACCTAGGTCCTAGGAATCTGAATCTAAAATTTATTCAATCAGACCCAACACACACTGTTATTTAAAGGATTCCAAACAAGTTCTAGGTTACCAGCTTTTGCTGGCATTTTCTACTGCTGCCCCATTGAACAACTGGCACCCCTTCCCATCACCTCATAAGATTCTAAAATCAGCACAAGTTCAATGCAGAGATGAAGACTGTACTGTACTTCACCTAGGAAATACAGATGTGTAATTTAATAATAATTGATGTTAAGGTAGGAATAAGATATATCAACTCTAAAACACACAGGGTTACTATTCACTATTCATAGTAATGTTCTCTACAGTCCTAGCGACCACTGAATTAGTGAATACTGAACCACTGCTCCGAGGGGGAACATGTGTACATCTCAAGCTCACATAGAATGTAATCTAAATACCAAAAGCAGCTCATCATGGTGGAGCTCATTTTCTCTACTTTCATGCAAGAGTTCAGAAGTGTTAAGTGCCTGGCGTGAGGCCACGCAACAGCAGAGCTCCAACCCCTAGTCAGAAGTGCAGCTGCCTGAAGGGCTCTGTCCTCAGCCGGGAATGGGCACAAGGGGCAACTCAAAAGTCTTCCAGCTCTGTACATTTCCACAAACGACCACCGAAACCCCACAAGTATGGATTTGGGGGTTACAAATAAACTTCAGCAAGTACGCAAACTCGCCTGCTCAGAGAAAAATGTTTTTATTATTTTAATCATTATTTAGATAATGATGATCAAGAGAAGCTGACAACAGCAATTAGGTCTCAATGGGCGCAGAGAGACCATCGTGTGCTATCTTACCTTGTTTCTGAGCGTTGAAAGGTTTCCCACCTCCGATATGGTGCTTCATGCTTCTTTCAGCCGCAAAGCCAGAGGACAAAGTCACATTGGTGGGCTGGTTTCTCATTTTCTTGGCATGTTTTCTTTCTTTTGCATTAGACATTTCTGGAAAGGAAGAGACAAGTTTAGTATAGAGAGGAAATTTTCACTTAAAAATAAAAATAAATCTAATGACTATGTGAGTCGAAACTGCATTCCCCAATATAACAAATGTTCATTTGGATTGATGATACCAAAATATTATCATGACATTGAGCTACAGCAGATATTCCAAGGAGATCATGGATTTGTATTAACACAAAACCTTCATCAACAAAAAAAAAATAAATTTTTTGATGGGAGAGATCTTATTGGTACCTTCTAGTTTCTGTTGCCAAATAATTAAATCACACACAGATGCTGACACTGCACAAAGTCTGCTGCAAGAATGAAAAATGCGGTGAGATAAGAAAACGAGACATCACCCCCCCCCCCCCCAAAAAAAAAAAAAAAGAGTTGCAACATTTTATCTTGATTCTTAGGTGAAATAAGAGCTGACCAGGGCCGGCACTGTTGGGCAGCATGTTAGAGCCCCAGTCTGCGGTGCCAGCATCCCATACAGGAGTCAGTTCGAGTCCCAGCTGCTCCACTTCCAACCCAGCTCCCTGCTAATGTGCCTGGGAAAGCAGTGGAAGATGGCTCAAGTGCTTTGGCCCCTGGACCCGTCTGGGAGACCTGCAAGAAGCTCCTGGATCCAGCTTCAGATCAGCTCAGCTCCGGCCATTGCGGCCATCTGGGGAGTGAACCAGCAGATGGGAGACCTCTCTCAAGGATAACCTCCATAAAAACTGGTCATAAATCCTCGATGTTCCCATTTCTACTGCTGAGACGGGACCAACTATATTTTTAACTTATAACAGTAACAAATAACAATTTTGATTTGAATAATAAATGACAGAAACCTATTAGTGCCTGATTTACCCAGTTAACTCGCAAACTCAACACTCTTTGTTTGTACTGATTCAGTTTGAAACATCCATTTTCTGTTGAAATAAATTCATTAGTAACACAATCTACTAGATACATAACTTATCAACAACATGCTTTGTCATATATATGCCCTAACTATAATATAAAGAACTGGAAAGTAATTTTAATAAAGTAATACATATTTCTGTATCTTAGTATTTCACCATCACTGTGGTACTACACGACATCACAAAATAGAGCTTTTGAACCCAGAGGATACCCACAAGAACCGAGGCAGCAGCACAAGCTTTGGCACAATGCATGAAGATGGAGAAGGGTCCTGATGTTCGCCTCCCCATGCAACTGTCATTACCCCCAGTGCTTACTGCAGGGGCGACATGGAGACACCGGGAGGTAAGGAAGCTCAGTGTGGCAGATATTTGCCAAGCTGTCTTCAGAACATTTTAATATTGGTCTTTACGTCCTCCTCCACATGAATGCTCAGCCTCAAAGGTAAAGCAACACAGATGTGGAGAACTAGTGTCCCAAAGAGGTGACAATGCCACAGATGACAGAATTTTCCATACTGGTGAACACTACCACAAAAAGAACAGTACAAACTGGCTCTGATTTATTACAGTCCTAGAAAATTCATTCTACATTAAAGCTGCATGAATCAATGCTGTTATGAAATCTTTCTGCACAGAACAGAATGTCTAACACCTCTGTCTCAATTGTTATATCAACCAAAACAGCCACGCAAACTTCTAAAATGCCCAGTAGTGATCTGCACCATTCCCACTGAGGGCCACTAAATTAACCACCACCCATTCACTAATACCAGCAGACGGAAGACTCTGTTTCTCTTTGTCCTTCTGCTTTTCAAATCAAAAAAAAAAAAAAAAGAACAAAAAATTGTTTCTTAAAGTACATGGAGGGGCTGGTGTTGTGGCTCAGCAGGTTAAGCCACTGCTTACAACATCTGCATCCCTTATCAGAGTGCCAGTTGGAGTCCCGGTTACTCGGCTTCTGATTCCAGCTTTCCGCTATTGTGCCCAGTAACATTTTGACAAAATGAATGAACATGAAAGCAAACACAAGTGATTAATATCAAGAATAGAACAGAGGTAAAAATGACTTGATTGTTAAGACTTAAGATTCCTTCTGGAAGCTCTTATAAGCCAAATCCTCAGACATCATAAGGCACATACTATATTTATTCTTTTCTGCCGCTGGAACTGTTTGGGCACCACTGCTAATCCAAAGTAGCCACTCTATTTTTAAAATTTTTATTTGGTTGAGGGGCAGAGGGACAGATAAACAGAGAAAAGGCAGGGAACTCAATCCAGCTCTCCCACATGGGTGGCAGGAAGCCAATTACTGGAGTGTACACCAGCAGGAAAAGCCAGAGCCAGTCACACCAACACGACCCAGGATTGTCCTAACCACACCTAACTACCAAGCTGAACAAAGCCCCAAACTTAGAAACATCATTTTTCAAGGTCACCCTAATCCTCTGGCACCAACCTGCCTCTGGGTCATTCTAATTCTGAGCAGAGCAAGTGTTCCCAGGGTAGTATTCTTTTTGTTGTCATTAGAAGTTTATTTAATTACTTTTATTTATTTGAAAGGAACAGTGACAAAGAGAGAGAGAGAGAGATCTTCCATCCATTGGTTCATTCCCCAAATTCCTCCAATAGCCAGGGTTGGACCAGGTCAAACCTAGAAGCCAAAAACTCCATCCAGGTCTCCCATATGAGTAGTAGGGACCCAAATACTCGAGACATCATCTACTGCCTCCCAGGGGGCCCACTGGCAGGAAGCTGGATCCACTGATCCCAGGTACTCCAATATGGGATGTGGGCATCCCAAATGGCTGCTTAACCTGCTGTGCTACATTGCCTGCCCCTTTTCTACAAACCTTTTGTTTTTTTAAGATTTACTTATTTCTTTGGAAGGCAGAGTGACAGAGAGAGCGAAATCTTCATTCCCCAAATGCTTGCAACAGCCAGGGCTGGGCCAGGCCAAAGGCAGGAGCCAGAAACTCCATTCAGGTCTCCCACATGGGCTGCAAGAATCCAAGTACTCAAGACAACATCCACTGCCCCTTGCCTCTGCCCACCCCAGGCACATCAGCAAGGAGCTGGATTGGAAGCAGAGCAGCTGGAACACAACTCAGCTATGGGATGCAGGTGTCCCAACCCTCAGCTCTGTGCCATGACCCCTCCCCAACACCTTCCTTTTGTTTTTGAGTGCTCCTTACTTAAAAAGATGGTATGGTGAATTTAAAAACCACCTCTAACTATCAGTTAACTACGTGTAACAAGTTTTGGAATACCCAATATGTGGCTGATAGTTTCCTGCTGTGTACTAACAAACTAGTGTAAGGATGTGATCTCTCTCCTTAATTTAGCCATCTTAGGCAGCTAACAGTGAGAAGGGGACTTCAAAAGATCATTGAAAATAGAATTAAAAGGTAAATTTAAGAGGCCAATGTTTGTTCTCAGCAGTTAAGATGCCCACATTCCATAATAGGTTTGAGTTCCAGCTCTAGCTTCTGATTCCAGCTTCCTACAAATATGGACCCCGCTTCAGAGGCAGTGCGTGATGGCTCAGGTGCCTGAGTTCCTTCACCTGCATGGGAGAACCAGACTGGGTTACTGGCTCCTGCTTCAGCCCAGGCTGGGTCATTGCTGGCACCAGCAGATGGCAGCTCTCTCTGTGTCTTTCTCTGCCTCTTGAATAAATATTTTTTAAAAAGATAAATTTGATGGCCAAAATTTTCAAATCTATGCACAGTAGTATTTCTTAACACACATTTTCCACAAACTTTCTGAATACCCCCTCATATGTGCCAAGCACCATTCTACATGCTTACTTTTTTTTTTTTTTAAGATTTATTTATTTATTTGAAAGCCAGATTTACACAGAGAGGAGAGACAGAGAGAGAGAGAGAGAGAGGTCTTCCATCCGATGGTTCACTCCCCAAATGGCTGGAAGCCAGGAGCCAGGAGCTTCTTCTGGGTCTCCCATGCATATGCAGGGGCCCAAGCACTTGGGCCATCTTCTACTGCTTTCTCAGGCCATAGCAGAGAGCTGGATGGGAAGTGGAGCAGCCAGGTCTTGAACCAGCACCTGTATAGGATGCTGGAGCTTCAGGCCAGGGTGTTAACCCGCTGTGCCACAGCACTGACCCCTCTACATGCTTATTCATTTATTCACCCACTTCTCACAATTCAGCAAGGGGGTACTATATTATCCTCACTTTACAACTGAAGAAACTGAAATACAGAAAGTTAAATGCCACCCCTCCACACACAGGCCTACTAAGCTTGCGATTGTGCTGGGATGCAAACCAGGTAGTCTGGCTCCATTTACTGCCCTTAAAACACAAAACAACCAGAGAATAAGACCACATATAATAAAATGGTAAAAATCTGCAGTTTAGCACAACAAAAATCTGGACAAGGAGGGGGAGGGGTGTGTGTGACTCAGCAGGAAAAAAAAAAAAAAAAAAAAAAACAGGATTTCAGTTGGAATTTGGATCTACAGGGAAGAAAGAGTACCAAGGACTCTACTGGGTGAGTTCAGGAGGACAACCTGGGCATGGTACGGGAACAGAGTACAAGGCAAGGGGATGTGAGGTCTTTTATTCCAGGCTGAAGTCGTAAATCAATCCAAAAGATCCTGCGGTTCTTGAATCTCAGTAGGAACTCCACAACTCTAACAGGAGGTAAGGCAAAATGTGAGGGAATAAAAGGGATTGTCCTGTATGGTGTCGTGGAAGCAGGCGGGACGTGGGTCTCATCTTTTCTAATGAGGCATCCCCAGACCCCTGGAAGAATGCCTTGCACACAGTAGGCGCTCAATACTTACTTGCTGAACACGCACACCGCATAAAAGGAGTGAAGCGCACCGACAGCACAATGTTAACGAGACACGAGATGCTTAGCCACGTAGCAACCCCTCTCATACATACAGCGTGACCTGCCCAGAGACCAGCCACGGGGCCGCGACCGAGACCAAGGCACCATCCTCCCTCTGAAGTCGGATCCCAACCGTGAGGGCTGTGTTCAAGTCAAAAGAGAACTGGGGAAGCCGGAGCATTCCGGAGAAAGGAACTGGCGAGCGGCGAGGAGCTGCACACCGCCCAGAGCGCCGCGGGGTCCCCTGGACGACCCACCCCGTCCTGCAGGCTGGCAGAAGACGCGAAGCAGGCCCACTCCCCCGACGGCCGACGCGCGGCGAGGCCACGAGGGACAAAGATAGAAGCAGGGGGCTCCGGCGCATGGACTCAAGAGGGTTCCAGGCGGGGAACAGGGGCCCCGGGCGCAGCCTCCACGGATCCAAGATGAGTCGAGCCGAGGCTTAGGGTACTGGCGAGCAGCCGGGTCAGGGCGCCGGCGCAGGGCTCGAGGCCGCCCCACACCCTGGAAGACACAAACTCGTGGACCCCGGCAGGCACTCGCCCTCACGACCTACCTGCCAGACGCTCCGTAGGGTTCCCGGGTCAGAATGACAAGGTCCTGCCGCAGCCCCACCGAGAAGACGCGCGCGGCAGGCGGGCCCAAAGGCGCATGCGTCAGCCTGGCCGCTTCCTCCACGTGGCCTGGAGTCGCGCCGAGACTACAGCTCCCAGAATGCCGAGCGCACGCGGCCCCGGGCGAGCGCCCTGGGAGCTGAGACGCTGCCCCGGGGCTGGTCAGTCCGGTTGGTCTGGTGCTGGCGCGGGAGCCGCTGCTTCCAGACGAGCTGCGCGAGAACACGGACTAACCATGTCGTCCCTGGTCAGAAAGGTGATAAGCACTGCAAAAGCCCCAGCGGCCATTGGTCCCTACAGGTAATGTGTCTTGTGGGAGCACCAATAGACCCCGGGGGGCCAGGGTCGATGACTTGCAGCTGGGGTCCCTAGGGTCGAAGCCCAAGTGAGCCTCGCGGTTCTGCAGGCCAACCCCATCAAACACGCGAGGAAACAGGCCGTGCAGCGCAGCCGGAGACCCGCCGGCGAGCTGGGGGCCCCAAGAGGGTGGCCCCGAGCCCGCGCTGCGGGTCTTTGCCCCTGTCCCGGGAGTCGTCGCTCCAGAACCCTCTGGTTTTTACAGCATAGAAATGGCGCTAGAGTTTATTAATTCATTGCCCCTGCTGATTTCCCGCTAATAAAACATCAAGCACTTGCCCAAAGCGCTGTGTAGATCATTTTCTAAAATTGCCCTGCACGCTCTTGCTAAATGTATGTGTGTTGTCCGAGACGTCTACCCTGGGTGGGTGTATTTCTGACCCGGGCCAGAGGAAGAAAAAGATTTTTAGAAAGATTCTTGTTGGAGGTAGGGAGACCTTGAGCTGGGTTCTGAAGGCTGGGTTTGCCATTTACAGTAGTTTGGTTTATAAATTAATTATTTAAGTGCTTTTTGGGGAAGCCATGGGGTAAAGGGCATTCCTGAGAGGGAATGACTGGATTGAGACATGAAGGTGGAAGGAGGAATGGCATAAAGATTTGCAGAGGAAGTTTTAGTAATTCCAGTGCCATTTTTCTTTCTTCCTTTTTTTTTTTTCTTAACCAAATCTTTGGACCACTTTTAATATATTTGACACATTTCTTTGAACTGGCTCCTTCAGTTTAACAAATTAATTTTGAAAGGAAACTTCACAACAGTGCAAAACAACCCAACAGAAAGTACAAGTAGAAAAGAAAAATTAGAAAGTGTTATTAAAATTCTGGCTGGATACTGGGGCCTACTTTCTCTTAAAGCTTACGTGTCTTTTTTTTTTTTTTTTTTTTTTTGACAGGCAGAGTGGACAGTGAGAGACAGAGACAGAGAGAAAGGTCTTCCTTTTGCCCTTGGTTCACCCTCCAATGGCCGCCATGGCCGGCACACTGCGCTGATCCGATGGCAGGAGCCAGGATCCAGGTGCTTTTCCTGGTCTCACATGGGGTACAGGGCCCAAGTACTTGGGCCATCCTCCACTGCACTCCCTGGCCACAGCAGAGAGCTGGCCTGGAAGAGGGGCAACCGGGACAGAATCCGGCACCCCGACCAGCACTAGAACCCGGTGTGCTGGCACCGCAAGGCGGAGAATTAGCCTAGTGAGCCGCGGCGCCGGCCAGCTTACGTGTCTTTAAACTTGTTTTCTTAAAAAAAAAACTGGTAATTTTTTTCTCCCTTAATGTAATCAGAATTGAAGTCACAATTGCTAACATTTATTGATACTTACTCAACACTAGGCAGTGTTTGAAGTACTTTATGTGCGCAGTCACTCTTACAGTCCCCATTTTTCAGATGAAGAAATTCATGCATGCTGGTTAAATAAGTTGCTCAAGGGCACACCACCAAGTGTTGTAACAGAACTTGAATTCTGGCAATGAGCTTCAGAACCCAGGTTTAGTCATTTAGTTTGCCATCCCCTACCTAGAAAAATTGAAAGAGAATTGAAAAGGAAGAACTGGGATTTAGTATGTTTGACCCTTGAGGAAATCCTGTCGAATTGGACTTTAGATTGGAATTTTTGTTTTGGTTCTTGCAGAGTGACTTAAACTCTCCTAGTTTGCTTAAGACAAGTAAAGTGGGCATAATAGCACTAGTTCATAAGATTAGGGAATTAAATAAGACCATGACCAATAAAAAATTAGATTTTAACAGGGTTCAGGTTGTGGGGGTTTCCAATGCTAAACCAAAGATATAAACTTTATTTTGTAAGAGAATGATGGTATTAATTCTGGTAGAAAGTCGGGGAGGAGAGTCAGAATAGTTAAGGGGTAATTTAATGTAAGTAGAAATCAGTCATCTTTCCTCCTCCCTCAGTCACCCAGTGGCAGCATTCAGAGTAACCCTGTTTTCCTTGAGAGCAAAAGTAACTCTTAACAAAAATCAGAGCGACTGTAAGAGAGGCTTTGTCCTGGAACCTGCTAAAAGCATGCACCGTCCACAACCTATATAGAGATACTGTGCACCCTTTGTTAGGAGAGAGTGTGACCGAGATACTCCGCTGGACTAGGAGGCAGAGGTAACTGTGTTGGTAAAGCCGCAGGCAGAAAGCAGGGGAATCATTGCTCGAGTGTGCCAGTGCAACGAGAGAGGAGCCAAGAGGCTGCTTCGTGGCGTGGAGACTTGCCAGGGTGTTGGGCTTCCTGTGTGTTCTGTATTCAGAGTTGGTACAAGGCCACTGGAAATAGTGCTACTTTACAATATCAACATTAAAAGGAAAATTCTAACTAGTCGTATCCTGAGAACATTACTTGGACATGTTTTTTTTTTTTTTTTTTTTTTTTTTTTTAATTTTTTTTTTTATTTTTTGACAGGCAGAGTGGACAGTGAGAGAGAGAGACAGAGAGAAAGGTCTTCCTTTGCCGTTGGTTCACCCTCCAATGGCCGCCGCGGCCGGCGCGCTGCGGCCGGCGCACCGCGCTGATCCGATGGCAGGAGCCAGGAGCCAGGTGCTTTTCCTGGTCTCCCATGGGGTGCAGGGCCCAAGCACCTGGGCCATCCTCCACTGCACTCCCTGGCCACAGCAGAGGGCTGGCCTGGAAGAGGGGCAACCGGGACAGAATCCGGCGCCCCGACCGGGACTAGAACCCGGTGTGCCGGCGCCGCTAGGCGGAGGATTAGCCTACTGAGCCGCGGCGCCGGCCGTGGACATGTTTTAAGAACCTGTTGGAAACAGTTTTATGCACAGAATTTGTAGTGAGTACACTCTGAAAATGTTGGGTTCCCTCCAAGAAAAATTCAAATAAGCTGAACTTTGAGGCCCTGGCTTTGGGATGTGTGGGGTGTTGTCGGTAATTGCTCAGCTCAGCACATTTCAGGGTGCGTGAGACCCGAACCTGGAGAGATTTCAGTATCACGTTGCTGTTGCCTCGTTCCATTTTGCTGGCACACCGTCACATGGTTGTACATTTTTGAAACATGGTATAGATGATGATGTGAGAATTATTATTAGAATGCTTTTGAAAGTGTGATCACCCTTTGCCCTGTAAGGAACACACTCCCCTTTGCACTGTTCCAGATACTCTGGAACCTAACAACTTGTCTGTGGGTAGTAGGATTCTTTGTTGTTGTTGTTTCAGATTTCTTCTCTTATTTGAAAGGCAGAGTTAGAGAAAGAGCAAGAGGTCTTCCCATCCACTGGTTCACTAACCACTTCCCATTCACTGATTCATTAACCCGCTGCGCCATAGTACTGGCCCCTAAAATAAACATTTTTTACATGCTTGCACCAAAAGTTGGTGCAGACATTGTTGAAATCTGTGTGTAGTTTTTTTAGGGTATGCATTTTTTCACGAACCTTTTGAAGACCACTTGTACATTTCCTGTAAAAAGTTGAATTGCGTGGGCCAGGGTTGTAGCCCACCAGGTAAAGCCCTGGCCTGAGTGCCAGCATCCCATCTGGGCACCAATTCAAGTCCCAGCTGCTCCACTTCCAATCCAGCTCCCTGCTAATGTGCCTGGGAAAACAGTAGAAGATGGCCCAAGCGCTTGGGTCCCTGCACCCACATGGGAGACCCAGAAGAAGCTCCTGGATCCTGGCTTCGGATTGGCTCAGCTCTGGCCATTGTAGCCATTTGAGGAGTGAACCAGCAGATGGAAGACCTCTCTTTCTCTCTCTACCTCTCTCTCTAACTTTTCCAAACAAATAAAATAAATCTTAACAAAAGAATTAGTTGAATTGTTTGGCTTCTCTTGGGTATCAGTGTGCTGTGTGCTTTTTCCATGCTAATTCTGAAATGTAGCTTCTTCATTACAGAAGAGGTCAGTTACAAGATGAAGCACTTGGCAGAGGTAAAGTGTGCCCTCAAAAGTGCATCCTTAATTGACCCCTCAACCAGCAAGGACTAATCTTTTCTGAGAATGATGACTTTTTGTTTTATATAAATTTTTTTTTTTTTTTTGACACGCACAGTGGACAGTGAGAGACAGAGAGAAAGGTCTTCCTTTGCCGTTGGTTCACCCTCCAATGGCCGCCGCGGCCGGCGCGCTGCAGCCAGCGCAGCGCGCTGATCCCATGGCAGGAGCCAGGTACTTCTCCTGGTCTCCCATGGGGTGCAGGGCCCAAATGGGCCATCCTCCACTGCACTCCCTGGCCATAGCAGAGAGCTGGCCTGGAAGAGGGGCAACCGGGACAGAATCCAGCGCCCCAACTGGGACTAGAACCTGGTGTGCCGGTGCCGCAAGGCGGAGGATTAGCCTGTTGAGCCACGGCGCCGGCGAGAATGATGACTTTTGAAAGAATGCTCTTGACATTACATTTTGTTGTTGTTGAGGGGTAAGACACTTATAAGAATCACCCATTTTAAATGTAAAATCTCCTGAGTTTTGGTAAATGTAAAGTCTTGCATCCCCTGCCATCATCAAATTTTAGAGCTTTTCCATCACCCCCCAGAAATTCCCTCATACTCACTTGTGGTCGATGCCCACCCTTGGCCCAAACGACAACTCATCTACTTTCTGTAGCTGTTATTCTGTCTTTTCTAGAATTTTGTACACATGTGTGTATGTAGTGTTTCATTGGATCTATCAGTGGTTCCTTTTTTTCCTTCCTGGCTGCCATGGATAGTACTGTTCTGAACAGTCATGTGAAGTCTTTGGACATACTCGTGT